CATGACTCTTTCTGTGTTCCCAGAATGCAACACTGAGTCTAACATACTAACATATTAATTAATATGTTTAATATTAACATACTAATAATATTAATATTAACATACATATTAATTAATATGTTAATTAATTAACATATTAATTGTAGGCCTACAATTAATGCTCGGACAATAAATAAGTAAATGAGCAGTGGGTGCTGAATGATTCCCCCCAATATGTCCGTGTCCTAATCCCAGAATCTAGAATATGACCTTACATTATAAAAGAGTTAATACTATTTTATATGGTATAATACAGGATAAAGTTAAGGATCCTGAGAGGGGGTGCTTATCCGAGGTTATCCCAGTAGGCCCTAAAAGCAATCATGTGTTTCTTCATAAGATAGGAGCGGTGGGAGATTTTGATCAGGGAAGAGAAGGTCACGTGACCATAGGAGGAGGAGAGGGTCATGTGACCATAGAGGCTGAGACTGGAGTGACATGGCCATAAACCAAGGAAGACAAGGATTGCTGGCAGCCGCGGAAAGCTGGAAGAGGTCAGGGGTGACTCTCCCCTGGAGTCTCCGGCAGGAGTGTGGCCCTGCTGATACCATGATGTTGGACTTCTGTCCTCTAGCACTGTGAAACAATACATTTCAGTTGTTTTAAACCGCGAAGTTTCTGGGGAAGTGGTACTTATTAAGCACCTGCCTCTATGTGTCTGCCACTATTTACATCAATTCATGTCACACTCAAAATAACTCCCGAGAGTTAGGCATTGCTGCATCATCTGTGTGGTTAAATTCAAAAGCGGCAAGATAGCTACAAAACGACATGAAATTAAAGTAATCTTCGAAGATGCTGTTTCTCATGTTTTTCCTGCTGAGTTGGGTGAAGATGCTTTCTTTAATTGGACCCTGGCTAAAGTAGCTAGTTGTTGGCTTGCATTTAGCAGAGCCTTGCTAATCTTGTTTTAAAGAGGTGTGATTCTTCCTCAGCAAGACAAAAGGCTCAGGCTGTGAAAAGCATGAGGGAACTGAGTGAAATCCAGACCCTCTTTCTCTTACACATCTCCCTCAGAGGGAAGGCAGGAAGAAACCACCTGTGAATTGTCATTTTTTACCCACTCACTGGCACACAGTAAGCTCCAAGTAAGTGTTAACTATTCTTTAACTGTGATTCAACCTGCAATGTTTTCCAACGGGTGGGGGATTGCTTGTATTCCCCACGGTGTTATTTGAGTCTGTCTATGGAAGCAAGACATGAGAATAGGGCCTGGAGGCAGGGAATCTAAGGACTTCCTAGAACCAAATCAAATGGAAACACTTCAGTTGTAACAGGATATATCCTTTCTATTTACATAGGGCCTACACTGAGTAAATGACTTTGTAACTTTACTTCATCCTCTTCGTTTACATAGGATGAACACCAAGTAACCAATGGAAACCTCTAGCAGATATTTAAACCGCAGAAAATTCTGTAAGGGGGCCCCCTGTGCCTGGGCCGCTCCATTCCTGTGGAGTGCACTTCCATTTTCAATAAATCTCTGTTTTTGTTGCTTCATACTTTCCTTGCTTTTGTTTGGAAAAAAATTCTTGGCTCAAGACGCCAAGAATCTGCATACCTTCAACTGGTAATGGAAGTCAATGTTTTGCAAAACATACTGCATCCCAGAATTGCCATTTACTAGCTGTGACTTTGGGCCGGATACTTAGCATTTCTGTGCCTCAGTGTCACAGTTTGTTAAATTGAAATATTGACAGCACTTACCCCAGAGGTTGGCTATGAGGATTCAATAGATCAAATTAGTTATTAATGGCTAACTGCACAGAATAGCTCTAGTACATATAAAACCCCACCAAAACTCAGGATTCTGCCTTGGATTTCTTTCTCATTGCTTGATTTATGTATATATATTTATATTATTAGTGAATGCTTTCATTGATTCATTCTTTCACCTGTGGAAATGTACGTTAACACATATGGAAAAAAAAAATAAGGAATGCAAAGGAGGAGAAAATTCCAGATGAACACAGAAAGGAGCTTCTTAAAACAGACATTTGGTTCTCTCAGGGTTCCTTGGTGACGGTAATTAGAGCAGCTCATCTGGAGGCGGAGGGTCTAATCTATGGCCTGACATAGGAGTTGCTACTTATTTGCCGAGACAGTCAGTGAACCGGCTGACAGTCTGATTAAGCTATTAGGATATTATCACAGAGTCACTCTACTTCCTTTTCTTTATTAGCAGACCAAAGTAGGGCATGTTGGAAAAAAAAGCTGTAACCATCTCAGGTCTCAGTTTCCTCGCCAGTAAATGAGGTTCATTAAGATGTCCTTTCCAGAGCTTTTTCAAGAACTCCATGTGAGAGCAAATTAAACAGCATTTGGCCCAAGGGCCTGGCACATGCAAAGGCACACCACGTCCACGTCCTCTATTCTCAGAGGAAAAAAAACCCTTAAACCCAAGCATTTAGGAATTATATAATGCTTTCCTGGCCGGGCGCGGTGGCTCATGTCTGTAATACCAGCACTTTGGGAGGCCAAGGTGGGCGGATCACCTGAGGTCAGGAGTTCCAGACCAACCTGACCAAAATGGAGAAACCCCATCTCTACTAAAAATACAAAATTAGCCAGGTGTGGTGGCACATGCCTGTAATCCCAGCTACTCGGGAGGCTGAGGCAGGAGAATGACTTGAACAAGGGAGGCAGAGGTTGCGGTGAGCCAAGATCATGCCACTGCACTCCAGCCTGGGCAACAAGAACAAGACCCTGTCTCAAAATAAATAAAGAAAGAAAGAAGAATTATATAATGCTTTCCTAAAGATGAGAAATTCTATGAGCTGAGACAAGATATAGGAGGATCAAGGGACATTGAGTTAGAAAGTCCATTACCATAGGTATCTTAGGGGGACTATATCCTACTTATTAAAATGACTCAGTGATAGTGATGAAAATATAACTAAAATTTATCATGACCTTGATAGGTCCCAGGCACTAAGTGTTTTACATTTATTAACTTGTCAATCCTCTCCACAAAATGAAGAACTGGCCACTTCTCTCTTTCGTGTTAACATAGCACTTTCTTAATGTGACTGTAACTGGTAGATTTATGTATTAATCTATGGATTCACTTATGCACTTGTTCGTGTCACAGTGTTCCCGAGCTATAGCAAAGGGTGGTGAACTGACCCCATGGTCACCTCACAGGTGCTGACTACTCCTCTCCGAGCCTGAAAAAAGTGCTCTGGGTGAGACACGGGATTTAAGCTGGAATCTTTATGCAGCCTGCACATCGATTTCACACGTGTGCCTACCTGAGGCCTGTTGGCAGCCCTAACAATGTGCCCTATTTTGTTACTTGTTGAAAAACAATCGGTATCTGTGTGAAAGTTCTGGTTTTTTCCTGTATTAGTTTGTCAAGGTTACCGTAACTAAGCACTACAGATGAGGTGGCTTAAACAACAGAAATGTCTTTCTTCGCAGTTCTCGAGGCTGAAGTCCCAAGATCAAGGTGTTGGAAGGCTGCTTTCTCCCACGACCTCTCTCCTTGGTTTGCGGATGGTCGTCCCTTCCCCGTGTCCTCACATGGTCGCCCCTCTGTGTGTGTCTCCTCTTGTCACAAGGACATCAGTCATATTGGATTAGGACTCATCCCAATAACCTCATTTAACCTTAATTATCTCTTTCAAAGCCCTATCTTCAAGTACAGTCACATTCTGGGCCTCTGGGGGTTAGGACTTCAATGTGCGGGTTTTTTGGAGTGAGGGAGGCACGATTCAGCCCCTAACAATGCACACCCACAGATAAAACTGCAACCTGGAGATGCTAAACGGGATTCACGAAATTATTGAAGTCTAGGCTTTAAAATAACATTTACATTTGAGGAAATTAAAGCCCAGGGAAGTTAAGTCACCGGCCTGAGCTCACATCCTTAGATATGGTGGCTCATAACTAACTTCGTTCCTTCCTTCCAATACCCCTTCCTTCATCAACAGAAGAGTTACAAGAGCAGCCTCTCCTTCCCCCTTCCGTTACTGCCTGTGTGTCTTTGGCCATTTATTTAATTTTCTGAGCCTCAGTTTTCCTACATCTAAGATAGGAAAAATCATGACTCCAAAGAGTTGTTGAGGATCAAAATAAGATAATGCTGGCCAGGCACAGTGTGGCTCATGCCTGTAATCCCAGCACTTTGGGAGGCCGAGGCAGGCAGATCATCTGAAGTCAGGAGTTTGAGACCAGCCTGACCGACATGGTGAAACCCTGTCTTTACCAAAAAATATATATAAAATTAGCTGGGTTTGGCGGTGCATGCCTGTAATTCTGGCTACTCAGGAGGCTGAGGCAGGAGAATCACTTGAACTGGGAGGAGGAGGTTGCAATGAACTGAGATCATGCCCCTGTACTCCAGCCTGGGTGACAGTATGACTCTGTCTCAAAATAATAGTAATAGTAATGCAGATAGACTAGGCCTGGCAAATACATATTCAGTGAAAATTTGCCCTTTCTTGTGGATTGATTTCTGTTATTCACGAATATTTTAATTGATTCATTCTTTGGCCCCCATCAGCAGATCTGTACTGAGGACAGGCATGCTCAACATAGCCCGAATGCTGTGGCTGGTTTCACATTCATTTTGGGGACACAAATCTATAGATAAGGAATTCTGACAGATATCAGAAATGTCTGCAGTGGGCATTTCAGTGCTGAGGAGGGAAAGGAATTTGGCATTAGCGTATGCTCCTCTGGAGGCTTCCTGGGAGGCAGAGGTTAGATGTGTCTTGTAAAATGAGTTTTCTTTAATAGGCAAGGCAGGGAATTGGGGGTGCATGAAATGGTCAAAACTGGCCGCTGGCCTGGTAGGCCAAAGTGTAAGATGTGCAGATATTTGTGGAAGGGGTGGGGAGGTCAGCCTACATCCCCCTTCTTCAGGGCAGCATCCTCCTCCTCCAGGGCAACATCCCCCAAACTCTTCCTTTATTTGTTGGGCTTAGCCTGGAACAGGGAGGCTGTTAAGTTATACCCACCTCATCTCCTCTGAGTCCTGTCCCCAGGGCAAACTGCTGATTCCTCTCCAGGAAGCGGATTTTTACATTGTAGACTTTGTTCCCATGAAACACAACCAAAACATAGGGCTCTTCCTTGGATTTTGTGGAACAATCTCGGACCAAGAAAGTACCATCCTGAAACAAAAAGAGTAACAGTCATCTTTTCAGGCATGCCAGCATTCTGCCCTTGTAATGGTGGCAACAATGATGTTTGCATGCATGAGATTCCCAGATGGATTTAGTTTTCGGTAAACCACTTTAATTCAGTAAGTTTGTACTGAGTGTCTGCGTGTCTACGGGTTCTTGTCATTTTCTGAGATGTGTACCAGTTGGATCTTGACACTCTCTTCTTGAAAGTCTTTCATCAAGGCCAGGTGTGGTGGCTCACCCCTGTAATCCCAGCACTTTGGGAGGCCAAGGCAGGCGGATCATCTGAGGTCAGGAGTTTGAAACCAGCCTGGCCAACATGGAAAAACCCCATCTCTACTAAAAATACAAAAATTAGCCAGGCGTGGTGGTGGTGCGTGCCTATAATCCCAGCTACTCAGGAGGCTGAGGCACGAGAATCACTTGAACCTGGGAGGCAGAGATTGCAGTGAGCCCAGATCGTGCCACTGCACTTCAGCCTGGGCAACAGAGCAGGACTCGGGTTCCAAAACAAAAACAAAAACAAAAAACAAAAAAGCTCTCATCATTTCCTACTGACCTAGGTGTAGTGCCCATGAACTTAGCATGACCAACCTATCTTGCAGTTTGGTCTCTCATGGCTCCTGCAGCTTTCTACCTCTGGCTCCTGGCTCCAGCCAAGCCACCATTCCCCAAAGGCACCATCTGCTTTGGGGCTCCCAGATTTTGCCTGATGTATAGTCTGTTTTCACACTTCTATAAAGAAATACCTGAGATTGGGTAATTTATAAAGGAAAGAGGTTTAATTGACTCACAGTTCCACATGGCTGGGGAAGCCTCAGGAAACTTATAATCACACGGAAGGCGAAGGGGAAGCAAGCTTGGACCTTCTCACATGGCAGCAGGAGAGAGCAGAGTGAGGAGTGAAGGGAGAGGAGCCCCTTATAGAACTATCACATCTCACGAGAACTCACTCACTAAAACTGCATGGGGGAAACTGCCCCCATGATCCAGTCACCAGGTCTCTCCCTAGACACGTGGGATTATGGGGATTACAATTCAAGGTGAGATCTGTGTAGGGTCACAGCCGAACCAGGCCACATGTGCTACTCCTTCTGCATGGAAAAGCCCTTCTCCTGCTCGCTTCTTGATGTATTCATCTCTCAATGTTCATATCTTTCCTCTTCTGCCTGGTGCTTGGGTGTTATTCTAGAGATAGTGGGAGCCACAGCAGGCTTTGAGCAGAGAAAGCTTTTACCTAATAAGTTGGACTTCTGTGCACAAAGATGTCTATGCAGGATTAGGGTTCCTGAACGAGACATGGGGCTTCTAAGTCATGGATATCAAACTGAATGGAGAGGCCCTTTATAGGAGGAGGAATTGTAGCCTATGTTGAGGTGAGGGCAAGTACAGGGCAAGGAAGAGAAGACACAAAAGGCCTGGAGATGTCTGAAAGATGACGGAAGACCAGGAGATTCAGAGTGACAGAAGCCAAGAGGTGGAGACTGAGGGTTTCCAAAAGCAGGTCAACAGCGTCAAATGGTCCAAGAGCTGAGAATAGGACAATGATTAGAAATAATTTGTACACTCCAGGGAATAATTCAGAATGATACTAAGATCTGGTTGTAAAAGACTGAGAAATGGAGCAGTCCTCCTGAACATGAACGCATCTACCAGGCTTAGTTTTGTTGTTACATTGTGTTATTTATATAATGAAAATGAAAAATCTGTAAGTGTAATTGTGTGTATTGTATAGATGGTTATAAGTGATCTATGAAGAATAGAGGCCGGGTGCGGTGCCTGACACCTGTATTCCTAACACTTGGGAGGCCCAGGCAGGTGGATCACTTGAGGTCAGGAGTTCGAGACCAGCCTGGCCAACATGGGGAAACCTCATCTCTACTACAAATACAAAAATCAGCCAGGCATAGTAGCATGTGCCTGTTATCCCAGCTACTCCAGAGGCTGAGGCAGGAGAATCGCTTGAACCCAGGAGGAGGAGGTTGCAGTGAACTGAGATCTCACCACTGCATTCCATCCTGGGTGACAGAGTGAGACCCTGTCTCAAAAAAAAAAAAAAAAAGCATGATAAATATAGATAATATATGTAGTGATTTATAGCTATAATAATAAATTATGATATATAATTCTCTATATTTTATAATAGCTATATATAATTATATATTTCTATAATGAATACTTATATAATGTAATACTATATAATACAACATGGCAATACTTTAAGTATACAAAATTTATAAATAATATTGTAACATGATAGTGATGTTATGATGATACTGGTAGCTAAGGTGCATTGAGAATTGCCAAGCACTTTGCACACATTGTTTCATTTAGAGGAATTTTTTTTTTTTTTTTTTTTTTTTTTGCGATGGAGTCTCGCTCTGTTGCCGGGGCTGGAGTGCAGTGGCACGATCTCAGCTCACTGCAACTTCCGCCTCCGGGGTTCAAGTGATTCTCCTGCCTCAGCCTCCTGAGTAACTGGGATAATAGGCACCCACCATCATGCCCGGCTAATTTTTGTCTTTTTTGTAGAGACGGGGTTTCACCATGTTGGCCAGGCTAGTCTCAAACTCCTGATCTTGTGATCTGCCCACCTCAGCCTCCCAAAGTGCTGGGATTATAGGTGTGAGCCACCATGCCTGGCTCATTTACAGGTGCTTTTTTTTTTTTTTTTTTGAGACGGAGTCTTGCTCTGTCGCCCAGGCTAGAGTGCAGTGGCGTGATCTCGGCTCACAGCAAGCTCTGCCTCCCAGGTTCACGCCATTCTCCTGCCTCAGCCTCCCAACTAGCTGGGACTACAGGTGCCCGCCACCACACCCGGCTAATTTTTTTGTATTTTTAGTAGAAACGGGGTTTCACTGTGTTAGCCAGGATGGTCTCGATCTCCTGACCTCGTGATCTACCCGCCTCGGCTTCCCAAAGTACTGGGATTACAGGCGTGAGCCACTGTACCCAGCCTATTTACAGGTTCTTTACATAAACGTTGGGTTCTTTACATAAACATTGATGGAAAAATTTTATTCTTATTTTACAAGCAAAGGAATAAAGGTCTAAAGGCTTAAGTGACTCCCCTAAAGCATCACAGTTACTAAATGGAATACTGAAAAGCCAAACCAAATCCTCACCCTTTAAATACACAAGCCTCTGACTGTATAAAATAGGATGGCAGAATTTTCTGGAACTTGTTCTGCCTAAAATGTTTAGTCATAACTGAAGCCTTAATGTTCAAGCCCAGAGCACTGCCAAAGATCAGAAGGAGAGAAGAGGCCAAAACTCATGGCCAATTTTTGGGTTTATCCTCTTAAACTCTGAAATGATTTGTCAAAATAAATCTGAGTAATTCTGAAATTTAAAATAAATTATCTTTCATAAATGGGAAACACATTTTGACAGAACTGAGACAAACAGAAAAGTAGAATATGAAAAGGAAAATATGAAGTCATTTAACTGAGATTTTATTTTCTTAAGATTAAGGAGATCGAGACCATCCTGGCTAACCCGGTGAAACCCCGTCTCTACTAAATATATACAAAAAAAAAACTAGCCGGGCGAGGTGGCGGGCGCCTGTAATCCCAGCTACTCGGGAGGCTGAGGCAGGAGAATGGCGTAAACCCGGGAGGCGGAGCTTGCAGTGAGCTGAGATCCGGCCATTGCACTCCAGCTTGGGCGACAGAGCGAGACTCCGTCTCAAAAAAAAAAAAAAAAATAAAAATAAAAAAAAAAATAAAAATAAAAAATAAAAAATAAATTATACGTATAAGTTGCTATGGTATAAGTTTCTTGGGAAGAGGCAGAAGCACGCACACAGAAAGAGAGGAAGGGAGCATTTGCTGAGCGTCCAAATGCTGCCGGAAGAGCATCAGGTCACATGCATATTGCTTTTCCAGCACAATCCACACACGGGCTCCTGGAAGGAGGTCTGCTAAGACTAGTTCTTCTGATGGAAAACAGGCTTTGTGAGTGCAATGGTGCACTGGGCACGGATTAGCGAAGAACGACAGCCAGGGTTGGAATCTACCATCACCAGGTTCGCCACCCTACCAAGGCATGGCCAGATTCCCTGGAAGGAGGAAAGGAGGGTCCTCAAGGAGCTGCATCAGCCAACCACCCAGGGTTCTCCACTCGGGCTGTGAAAAGAACTGTGAGGGCTACTAGAGTCAGCTGGGATTTTGTGAAAAGAGCACTGATCTTGAATGCATGTTCTATCAGTTTCTCTACTTTATGACCAACATATTGGCTTAGCCTCAGTTTCCTCATCTAAGAAATGGGATATTCCATTTATTCCGTGTATGTTCAAGATACTTGGTAAGCAATGGTATCATTTCCTATTGATGCTATAACACATTACCATGAAATTAGTAATGTAAAACAGAAATGTATTCTCTTACAGTTCTGGAGGTCAGAAGTCTAACATGAGTCTTGCTGGGTTAAAATCAATAGGAGAGACTTTGTTTCCATGACTTTTCCAGTTTCTGGAGGCCAACAAGATCCCTGGCTTGTGGCTCCCTCATTCATCTGACCTCTACTTTCATTATCACGTCTCTTCTCTGACTCTGAAACTCCTGGTTCCCTCTTACAAGGACCTTTGTGATTATATTGAACCCACCCAGATAATGCATAGTTACTTCCCCTTCTCAACATCCTTACCCTCACATCTGCAAAGTCCCCTTTTCTATGAAGGTGACATATTCATAGGTTCTGGGGATTAGGATGTGAATATCTTTGGAGTGGGCATGATTCTGTTTACCATAGCAACTTATACATATCATTTATTTAATTTTACATCATCAATTCTGAGAGCTAGGTTTTATGAAAATTTATTGTAGACCTATCATTTATTCACTAATTAACTAATTTATTCATGTTTGGGTTACCTCTTTCAACAGTGCCCATTGTACTGATCAGCTGGGGATAGGTTTTGATGTTGCATCAGTCTTGAGACACTTTCTATAACTTCTAAGCAATCTCATAGTTCTGTGCACATAGTCATTGCTTGATAATCATTTGCTCTTTGGGATGATGGTTGTGGTAGTCATTTGACCTGATGACAAGTATTCCAGTTCTTTTCTCCTTTCAGTCACATGTAGGTTTGTACTTCCTCACCGTCTTTGAAGTTAAGTTTGGTCATGTGACTTCCTTTGGTCAAAAATGTGTAAGCAGAAGTAAACTATGTTACTTCTGAGAGGATGTATTACAAGTCAGAGTGTGAGGGTAGAAGCACACCATTGAGATGGAGCCCCGGCAGCCTGGGTTTATCCACCCAAACCCATCCTGAACATGGTTTGCAAGCAAAAGTAAAGTTTCATTATGTTAAACAATTGAGATCTTGGGGTTGTTACTGCAGCATAACCTACCATATCCTGACTTTTGCAGCCTTCACAATCCCTGCTCCTTTCTCGAAGAAGTGAGACATAAACACCCTACAGTACCTTGGGCAAACCTTGATTAAGGAGATAAACCTTGATGAAAGCAGAAGGAAGCCCCTTCCATTGTGACCTCTATAGTCCAGTATCCATATTTCATCTTCAAAATAGTTCCTTAGGGTTGATTTTACTATGTTTCATTTTACAAATGAATAAATCTACATGGGAAGTTATTTAGAAACTTGAGAAAGCCACACAGCTGATAATTAGCACAACCAAGCCTCGGGCCTGAAGCTTTCCACGTTTTTTGTTTTTGAGACAAAGTCTTGCTCTGTGGCCCAGGCTGGAGTGCAGTGGCAGGATCTCGGCTCAAGGCAACCTCTGCCTGCCGGCTTCAAGCGATTCTCCTGTCTCAGCCTCCCGAGTAGCTGGGAATACAGGCACCCACCACTATGCCTGGCTAATTTTTGTATTTTTAGTAGAGACGGGGTTTCACCACGTTGGCCAGGCTGGTCTTGAACTCCTGACCTCAGGTGATCCACCCGCCTCGGCCTCCAAAGTTCTGGGATTACAGGCATGAACTGCCACGTCCGGTCCTCTTCATGTTTTTTTGTTTTTATTTTTTAATTTAATTTAGTTAATTAATTTTTGAGATAGTGTCTCACTCCATTGCCCAGACTGGAGTGCAGTGGCACAATCTTGGCTCACTGCAACCTCTGCCTCCCAGGTTCAGGCGATTCTCGTGTCTCTGCCTCCTGGGTAGCTGGGATTACAGGCGCCTGCCACCACGCCTGGCTAATTTTTGTATTTTTAGTAGAGGCAGGGTTTCACCATATTGACCGGGCTGGTCTCAAACTCTTGACCTCAGATGATCCACCCACCTCGGCCTCCCAAAGTGCTGGGATTATAGGCGTGAACCACTGCGCCCAGTCTTCTTCATGTTTTCTTGTTTTTTGTTTTTATTATTTTATTTTATTTTATTTATTTATTTTTGAGACAGCATCTCACTCTGTTGCCCAGGCTGGAGTGCAGTGGCACAGTCTTGGCTCACTGAAACCTCCACCTCACAGGTTCAAATGATTTTCGTGTCTCGGCCTCCTGAGTAGCTTGGATTATAGGCATGTGTCACCACACCTGGCTAATTTTTTTTTTTTTTTTTTGTATTTTTAGTGGAAACTGGGTTTCACCATGTTGTTCAGGCTGGTCTCAAACTCTTCATCTCAAGTGAGCCACCTACCTCGGCCTCCCAAGGTGCTAGGATTACAGGTGTAAGCCACTACACCTGGCCTGAAACTCTCCATGTTAAATGCCTTTTTCAACTACAGCCTCCCAGCATCGAGAAATGCAGGGTGATGCAGGAAATAATACATGAAAGCAAGCTGCTGGTTACATCTTGTGACACACGAGCAGAGAACCTTAAGATGCCTATGGAAACAATGACGGTGGGCCATGTGAATGGCATTACCTTGTTCTCCTTCATGAATGCCTCTTCGACTGCCTGGCGGCTGTACTCTCCAATGTACCATTCATTGTGCTGCACATCCTGCAGAACAGAATCAATGACAAATATTTTAGGGTCAAAGGAAAGTATGAATTATTGATTAATTAATTCAAAATTTACTTTTGTTCCACCAGTGCCTAATCACAGTTTAATCTATAGTAGATATTCAGTGCCTAACATTTAGTCCCTGAACTTGGAGAAGCCCACAGATACTTGGGGCAGAGAGACACAGAAAAAGTAACTGCATCTGGGGAATTCTGAAGTCAACGGGAATCTGTTGAGAAAGGTCCTTCAGCACCACCCTCAGAATGGATGATAAGCCGGCTATCTATCAGTGCTTTCTGAATCTTCAGCTACTGAGGCTTGTTGAGGTGGAAATATGTGTTGTTTGTGAAGCCTACACTGCCCTAGTCACATACAAACAGCAGGAAGGGAGAAAGAGCCCATCTCTGCCACTTCCCCAGAGGCACAGGCGGCTGAGCTATGATTCGGATCCTAGTTTATCTAGCTTTCTCCCTGGGCCGCGCTGCTTTATTTATATCAATGTTAAATGATTTTAAATTCTTTTGATGATAAAATCCAGACTAACTGGGAGAAGGAAGGGCAGTCAGGGAGATGCATCATGGACTTGAAATTCCTTCAAAGGATTCCGAGGATCATAATATTAAATAACCCTCCTTGTGAGTCCAGCATCTATAAGGTCCTTCCTCATTTAGCAGCATGTCAATCCACCCCTACAACACATCTTTGAAGTAGGCATGCCAGGTAGTATTAACCCTAGTGAAGACGGACAGTGAAGGTTCAGACAGTCAAAACCTGAACTGGGCGTGGTAGCTCATGCCTGTAATCCCAGCACGTTGGGAGGCCGAGGTGGCCAGATCAAGAGGTCAGGAGATCAAGACCAGCCTGGCCAACACAGTGAAACCTCGTCTCTACTAAAAATACAAAAATTAGCTGGGTATGGTGGCACGTGCCTATAATCCCAGCTACTCAGGAGGCCAAGGCAGGAATCGCTTGAACCTGGGAGGTGGCAGTTGCAGTGAGCCGAGATTGCACCACTGCACTCCAGCCTGGTGACAGAGTGAGACGCCGTCTCAAAAAAAAAGTTGTCAAAACCTGTCAAATGGTTGGCAAGAGTTAGGTATGTGACATCAGGTCTTTGGTCTCTCATTCATTTGGAGTCTCTGGTCCACTGAAAAATAAACCTGATACATTCAATACTGAGATTCTGATTCTGTTCACGTGAGAACACACTGATGTGAACACCATCTGGAACCGTATGAGTTAGCTCTAACTCAACCCTGTAGTCTCACTTCCTGCCACCCCATTTCAGACATGGGTCTGGCCAGACAAAAGTGCTTGTACTCTGGACACACACAGCTTCAGGAATAGAACAGAATTGGCCCTACGGCCTGGAATCCCTCCTGGTCTTCACCTCTGCCTACGCAGCTCAGCCATTCTTTTGCATCAAGATTGGGACTAAAAGTCACCTCTTTTTTTTTTTTTTTCTTTTTGAGAGACAGAGTTTCACTCTTGTTGCCCAGGCTGGAGTTCAATGGCACAATCTCGGCTCACTGCAACCTCTGCCTCCTGGGCTCAAGCAATGATCCTGCTTCAGCCTCCCAAGTAGCTGGATTACAGGCATGTGCCACCATGCCCGACTAATTTTTGTATTTTTAGTGGAGACTGGGCTTCACCATGTTGGTCAGGCTGGTCTCAAACTCCTGACCTCAGGTGATCCACATGCCTTGGCCTCCCATAGTGCTGAGGTTACAGGTGTGAGCCACCGCGCCTGGCCCAAAAGTCACCTCTTATTTGACCTAGTCCCTACCCCCTTGCTGAAAAGGTCCATGGCAGAACCAGCTCTGCCTCACTCCCGCAAAGCCATGTGACAGGCTCTAGAGACAAAGGAAGCCGTGGAGCCCCATCTCCCCACTGAAGCGTGAACTGTCTGAGCTTGAAGTGGTCTACTGCTTCCAAGGGGCCTCTTGGCCAGTCCATGGACTTGGCAGAGCTCAGTCATGGTGCATTTCATCCGCTCTGTTTTTATTTATTTGTCCAAGCTGGAAGACGTTTAGAGATGAGTCCTATGTTCCTCCAGGTGTGGTCATGCAGGATGGCTGGTGAGTGTAACTGGTGCTCAGAAACTGAATTACGTATCTCGGAATCACTTGTGGGGAGGGAGTCCCCTTCTAATTCTCTTTCTAGTCCCCCTGAATAATTTAAAAGGAATGTTTCATTTTGACCTAATGCGTCCTTAATATCTCTCTGACATTTCTAATCTCTTCTTTAACAGAAGAAGAGCAGTCCTTATGCTGAGAGTCATTAGCAGGTGATGGGATCCTGCTACAGTTTAATAGCTTGTTTTGTTTATATTGCAATGAATTTTTTTTAATTAGGGAAAATATTGTAAACCAAAAATATAATTCTAAGGCCTCCTAAGTCCATCTGAATGGACTTCCTCCTCTGCCAGGGCACTGTTAAAATTTAACCCGAAAGACTGGTTTGGGTCATGATGGGAAGCAGGGGTCAGACATGCCTCATTATACCTCTCTGTCATTAACATCAACACAGACTTTAAGTCTGAGAGGAAGCATTTACACTCTATTCTCTCTGAAGCCTGCTACCTGAAGGCTTCATCTGTACAATAAGAACTTTGGTCCAAAATCCCTTATCTTAACCGATAATAAGACCTCTATCTATCAGTGATATTCCCTTTCTGTGGATCCCAGGTCTTTAGATAAACTCAACCTATTGTTAACCAGAAAAATTTGAAATTTACTTATAACCTGGAAGGCCCCATCTCAAGCTGTTCCACCTTTCTGGACTGAAACAATGTATTAATTAAGTGTAATCCCAACGCTTTGGGAGGCTGAGGCAGGTGGATCACCTGAGGTCAGGAGTTCGAGATCAGCCTGGCCAACATGGTGAAACCCTGTCTCCACTAAAAATACAAAATTAGCCAGGTGTGGTGGCGCACACCTGTACTCCCAGCTACTTGGGAGGCAGGAGAATCACTTAAACCCGGGAAGCAGTGGTTGCAGTGAACCGAGATCACACCATGGCACTCCAACCTGGGCAAAAAGAGTGAAACTGTGTCTCAAAAAAAAAAAAAAAAGAAAAGAAAAGAAAAGAAAAAAAAAGAAAAAAGGTGTATTTGATTGAAGTCTCCTATCTCCCTAAAAAGTATAAAACGAAGCTGCACCCTGTCGGGCACATGTTCTCAAGACCTCCTGAGGGCTGTGTCATGGGCCATGGTCACTCATATTTGGCTCAGAATAAATCTCCTCAAATATTTTCCAGAATTTGACTCTTTTCGGCAACAATATAATAAGATTTACCATTTTAACCATTTGTAGTTGTATAATTCAGTGGCAATAAGTACATTCACATTGCTTTACAGCCATTTCCACTATCCATCTCCAAAAGTTTCTAATGACTACAAACTGAAACTCTGTATCCATTAAAGAATAACTCTCCATTACCTCCACCTCCTTCCTCAGGGCCCAGTTACCACCATCCTACCCTCTGTCTCTACGAATTTGCCTGTTCTAGGCACCTTGTATACGTGGAGTCATATATTTGTCCTCCATGTCTGACTTATTTCACTCAGTGTAATGTTTTCAAGGTTCTTGTATAATGTATCACATGTTAGAATTTTATTCCTTTTTTATTCCTTTTATTCCTTTATTCCTGTTTCATTGTGTGCGTGTGTGTACCATTTCGTTTATCCATTCATCTGTCAATGGACATAGAAGTTGTTTCCATCTTTTGTCTATTATAAATAATCTTATGAACGTGGGTGTACAAATATCTGAGTCTTTGCTTTCAATTCTTTGGGGCATACACTAAGGAATGGAATTACTTCTTTTTTTTTTTTTTTTTTTTTGAGACGGAGTCTCACTCTGTTGCCAGGCTGGAGTGCAATGGCACGATCTTGGCTCACTGCAACCTCCAACTCCCTGGTTCAAGCAATTCTCCTGCCTCAGCCTCCCGAGTAGCTGGGACTACAGGCACGCGCAACCATGCCCAGCTAATTTTTGTATTTTTAGTAGAGATGGGGTTTCACCCTGTTGGCCAGGATGGTCTGGAACTCCTGACCTTGTGATCCGCACACCTTGGCCTCCCCAAGTGCTGGGATTACAGGCATCAGCCACCGCACCTGGCCTGAATGGAGTTACTTCTAAAGTCACTTTCTACGATATATCACATTGGTTAAAAAAAAATTAACCAGGATAGTGATATCAAGTGAAAACAGGTCACCTTAAAGAGTATTATCAAGTAAATGTTATTATTGACAGGACATAGATATGCCACAAATCATAAAGGCACATTCAAACACCTGAAATCAGGGAAATCCTGATGTGGTCCAAGCCTGTCTCATGCCTATGAGGAATTCGGGATCTGGGAGGGAGCGTGACCTTGTGTAGACCTCTAGTTAGCTCTAGTTAGAACCAAGGGATCCCCATGTTTATGAAGAAGATGAAAGAGCAAAAGGAAGCCGAGTGCATGACAAGCGACAATAAAAGCAGGACGTGTGTTTTTTGTTTGTTTTTTTTTTTTTTGTTTTTGTGGCAAAGTCTAGCTCTGTTGCCCAGGCTGGAGTGCAGTGGTGCGATCTCAGCTCACTGCAACCTCTGCCTCCCAGGTTCAAGCGATTCTCCTGCCTCAGCCTCCCAAGTAGCTGGGATTACAAGCATGTGCCACTGCACTTGGCTAATTTTTGTATTTTTGGTAGAGATAGAGTTTCTCCATGTTGGTCAGGCTGGTCTCAAACTCCTGACCTCAGGTGATCTACCCACCTTGGCCTCCCAAAGTGCTGAGATTACAGGCGTGAGCCACCATGCCTGACCAGGATGTGAAAATATTTTCCAAAGTCTAATTTCAGATTATGAGACCCTTTTAGAATTAGGTAGAAATTAATATGAATATAAGGATAACAAAAGAGCTTTAGGATACTGTAAGAATTCACCAGAGATATCCTATACATTCTGCTTCTGCTTAGAAATCTTCACAAGCTCTGTAGCAGGACAGTGAGTAATAGCAGGATGTGGGATGGAGACCTGGAAGAGGCACATCCTCTGGGGTTTTACAGTGAAAGACTTTAATAAATAACATCTAATGTGATGGAGAGAAAGCATACAAGATACAGTGAAAGCTTTATCCCCCCACCATAGGGTAATGTAAGTGAAAAATGGTGCAAAAATAATCAATTGTAGGGAATGAGCATATTTTAGAAAGAGACCACAAAATAGATGATGGACACACAAGAACAGAGTTAGCATCCATTTGCATCTCCCCACTCTTTACATCTCCATTAGGGTGGGGACCATAACCTCTAGCACATTATCTGGCACATAATAACTCCTCAACTAATAATGGTCACTGGACTGTTAACTGAAATGAGTGTGTAATACATGAATCTTTTGCTGGAAAAAAATTGCAACCTGTATATCCTAGTTAACCCCCCACAAGATTATTGGACAGCCGATAAATATAAAACACATGTCTAAATATCTATATTTTTGGATTAATTTTTTAAAAACACTTTAGAATCTGGAAACATGCCAGTCAAAGAATCTGGTGAGAGACCAACATAATATGTTATATAGCAACATATTTAAAAATATTAAAATACTTTAAAAATATTAAAACCCAGTAATATGTAGCCAGAAGGGAAAAAGTTAAAGTCAAACATAAATAATCTCAGTTTGGGCATTGTTCAGGAAAGCTCTATTCAGATGCCAAGTACATCTAGAAGGACTTGGCAGAGAAATATCTGCTTACCTTTCTATCAGACCTTTTGGGGAAAGGTGGTCTCCAGCTTGTATATTTATAGGGTGGTATATTTTCCTGAGGGCTGCAGCTGGCTGGCGGCTGGCATCTCTGAGGAGAACAGGGCTGCATGCCTCCTCTGTGATCTGGAAAGGTTAAATTCACATTTCAGTGTGATTTTGTGACTGGTGCAGGCTGTCCCCCGCCTCCAAAAGGGAACTGAAACCCTTCGCTCCTTCCTATATCCGTGAGGACCTTCTTGGTCAACACCACATCAGCTCACTCAGTGACTTTAATTCTCTCTGTTTTGTTCTCTGCCTATAGCTTTGCGCTTCCTCCTCTCTTTCCTTGGGACTCCCAGAGTCATCTTTTAATAATGTAATTCCGAGCCAGGCGTGGTGGCTCACGCCTGTAATCCCAGCACTTCGGGAGGCCGAGGTGGGCGGATCACGAGGTCAGGATATGGAGACCATCCTGGCTAACACAGTGAAACCCCGTCTCTACTAAAAATACAAAAATTATCCGGGCGTGGTGGTGCACTCCTGTAATCCCAGCTACTAGGGAGGCTGAGGCAGGAGACTTGCTTGAACCAGGGAGGCGGAAGTTGCAGTGAGCCGAGATCATGCCACTGCACTCCAGCCTGGGTGACAGAGCAAGAGTCCGTCTCAAAAAAAAAAAATTGGAATTCTGACTCTGCCACTCCCCTTGGTAAAATTTCTGATATGATTTCCTTTCTGCCTAGAAGAAAACGTAAATGTTTTCCTTCTGTCCATAAGGCTCGAATGGACTGTCTATTCATATTTCCCCATCCACATCCTCATTTCTCCCCCAGTTGTCTACTCTGTTCTGTGTGTAATGAACTCTGTTCATTTTTTTTTTTTTTTTTTTTTTTTTTTTTTTTTGAGACGGAATCTTGCTCTGTCGCCCGGGCTGGAGTGCAGTGGCCGGATCTCAGCTCACTGCAAGCTCCGCCTCCCGGGTTCACGCCATTCTCCTGCCTCAGCCTCCTGAGTAGCTGTGACTACAGGCGCCCGCCACCTCGCCCAGCTAGTTTTTTGTATTTTTTAGTAGAGACGGGGTTTCACCGTGTTAGCCAGGATGGTCTCGATCTCCTGACCTCGTGATCCGCCCGTCTCAGCCTCCCAAAGTGCTGGGATTACAGGCTTGAGCCACCGCGCCCGGCCTCTGTTCATTTTTTTTAAACATGACAAGTTCATTCCCCATTTTGGAAACACTATTTTTTTCAACTTGAAAGAATAACTTTAAAAAATGAAATATCATACTTTTTAACCCAAAAGAATGACTGACAAGCTATTGTTATTCCGACCTCGATATCTGACAGATACGTTACTAAAAATGAACAAAGTGAGCCTGTCACTTCATGGAAAACAAGGGGCAGTGTCTGTTCCTGATCATAAGATTGGACTTTGCAAGTGCAAACTGGAGTCTGAGGAATCTTGCATCTGCCACTGTAACATAACAGAAACCCAACATTTACACTTTTCTAATGTGGTGGGTGGTGCAAATGTGATTTTAAAAATATATTACATAATAGCATGTATCAACAGTGGCAGTCCTGTTTATGTCCATTATCCATTATTTTCCAAGTCATCAATGCATGATGTTACACAATCCTGCCTGGATAAAAGATAAATTCAAGTACAAGACAGACCGAGGGATTTTAAAGTAGCAGAATATAAAAAGTTCATTGATAGGGGTTTGATTTCATATGACACCTAAACTTTAAGACACTACCACTTGTCAAATGTTAATGTGCTATTTTTTATACATACCTCAATCAAAATAACATTTTCATTGCATGTCTTCCCAGTTAATAATAATAAAATATATATATATTTTGAAATTCAGACCACAAACATGGAGTGAAGTATAAGGAGGAATACTAAGCAAGGCAGCTGTAAATTTATTGGTAATTTTAAGCAAGGAGTAACTATTTTAAAAACATAAAACCTTTAGGATAGATAAACATTATGTAAGTAAAATACTAGGCAAAAATAACATATGAAATGGAAAAGAGGTAATCAGTGTGAATATAGAATTATAAGTTTTTTAGTTGTAATTCATTTTTAAAAACGTAACCAAAGTTACAGTTATGCTTAGTAACTTAACAAGAACTTCGAAAGGATGGGTTGCTTTTGATCCAGTAAATTTTTGAGATGAAATATTAAACATTAGCAAATAAATGCCATTTTCCATAATATTTAGATTATATAGGTGCTAATTCTGCTTCTTGTAATCAAAAAGCCAAATTTATCTCTAAGTTTACTAAGAAGAACACTACTTCTGATGCATTGACAATTTTATTCTAAGGAGACCAAGGATTGTAGCTTTTTTTTCTTTTTTTTTTTTTTTTTTTTTTTTCCTGAGACGGAGTTTTGCTCTTGTTGCCCAGGCTGGAGTGCAATGGCACAATCTTGGCTCACTGCAACGTCTACCTCCCCAGTTCAAGCGATTCTCCTGTCTCAGCCTCCCGAGTAGCTGGAATTACAGACACCTGCCACCACACCAGCTAATTTTTGTATTTTTAGTAGAGTCAGGGTTTTGCAGCTTTGGCCAGGCTGGTCTTGAATTTCTGACCTCAGGGGATCCACCCACCTTGGCCTCCCAAAGTGCTGGGATTATAGGCGTGAGCCACCACGCCTGGCCAGGATTGTTGCTTTTAATGTTGAGCTTAAGGATGTTTGTTATGAGGGCTTATTTGTATCAAAATATTTGTTGCAGAAAACTGTTTGATCACTTAAAGTTTAAATTACCTTAATTGTGGTTAGTTAATTTCAGCCATCAATTTCTATTTTAAAAAATGAGAATAAAACTAGAGCCATTCCTAGTTTTAAAATGTTATTTTATAAATAAAAAAATTTAACTTTCAAACACAATGAAGAATCTGCACTTTCGGAAAGAAAGCATTCTAAGTTTTTTGTATTGTTTGTAAAGAAAATATGAATTTCAGATTGCTAAAATTTTAGCATGCCATTATTAAAAATATTTAGGGTAACCAAAAGAAGACTGATACTGGAATGTATAACTTCCAAGAAAAAGAAAGAAAGGAAAATAAAGGCGAGATGAATCTAGTATACAACAGGACAAAAAAATTAAATACAAAGCAGGACAAATAGGAGGCACAACATAATATAAAAACAGACCCCAAAATATCAGTAAGCACAATAAGTATCAAAGGTGCAAACTTACCTTTAAAAATCAGATACAGATTGATTTAAAAATTCCAGCTATTTGCTAATTGCACTTCTAACATGTAATGACACAGAGAGCAAAAGGATGGAGACCTGTATACCAGGCAAATCCTAACCAAGAGAAAGCCAACAGAGCTGTATAACACACAATACAATTGACTTGAGCCTTATTTAAATGGCCATAATTAACTTTTCAACATGGATTGAAGAAATAGGAACATACTCAAGAGGAAAAAATAACCATTTTCGGTATTTCCTATCATTTAGATGGTGTTGCATGCATAGTAATGTTTAGTGATTATGAATTTTTCATGACATTGTGGCAACTGATTTATTCTTTTTTAACCTTCAGTGCCTTGCTTGGATATTTTAAAAGTCCTACTTGAAAAAGAGCATTTGGAAACAGCTATGCATTTGTAGTTTGTTCAGAGAATGACTTAAAGCAAAACAGAACAAAGAAACAAAAAGAACAAGTTTGCCAAGTAAATTTTCCCTGAAAGCCTGGTTGGATCTTTGTTGAATGAATGAATGAAAGAAATTCTGACTCTGTAACTCGCTATAAGTATTTAATTGATTTTGTTTTAAAATAATTGAAGCAGTTAATCTTTGGAATTTTTTTTCTTAAAACATTACATTTAAGTTTTATAACCCCATGAAATAGGACTCTCCTCATATGGAGAATGGAGGGTCACAGAAATGAAGCCACAAGATAAGGGGAAGAACATTGGGACTAGCACAGTGGAGGTGCACAATAAATTTGAGGGAGAGTAGCCTAACAGAAAAGGCATGGGTTGAAAAACCATACTGACATCAATAATTACTAATATTTAAAATTCTTATGCATTATAGATTAAACACTTAGCACAGCGTTTGATCATATAACCACCCCATCAAGGCTAGCTGTGAGTGTTGCTAATATTACTAGAGAAACATAGTTCTAGACCTCCCTGTTGTAATTTATAATAAAGCATTTTATGTTAAGCAGGTAGTCTGTAAATATTTATTCGAAAAATTTAATTCACACTTATACACAATTTAAAAAATAATTTTATAAGAAAAAGAGGCTGGGTGCGGTGGCTGACGCCTGTAATCCCAGCACTTTGGGAGGCTGAGGCAGGCGAATCACGAGGTCAGGAGATCGAGACCATCCTGGCTAATATGGTGAAACCCTGTCTTTACTAAAAGTACAAAAAATTAGCCGGGCATGGTGGCGGGCGCCTGTAGTCCCAGCTATTCCGGAGGCTGAGGCAGGAGAATGGTGTGAACACGGGAGGCGGAACTTGCAGTGAACCAAGATTGTGCCACTGCACTCCAGCCTGGGTGACATGATGAGACTCCATCTCAAAGAAAAAAAAGAAAGGAAAAGAAAAAGAGTCATCTATTTTAAAGCAAAGAGAAAGCATTAGTGAACAAAAACTAAAAATAAAAAGGAAAAGAAAACAGATGATCTACAATCCCAGACTTAGAGAATAATGTTGTTACTACTTTGGAATATAACCAAAACTGGGGCCTCTTCCAACATGTCAAAATATTTTTTTCTGTCCTGAGATCCACTTGCTTGGGTTCCTAATAGTTTAACTTGAATGCATTTATCAAAGAATTGAGCCAAAACTGTTTATCAGGCCGTAACTGAACAAGAATAACTGAACTTCCCCAAAATTATTTTCTCATTTGTAAAATAAGTATAATAACATGTACAACTACGGAGGTGTAAATTTCACTCCGCTGCCTATACCTGATGCATTAGAATGCCTATACCTGATGCATTGGAGAACTCATTAGACCGATAATTCTAGGAGTGTAGAGACTGCATGTTGTTTTCTGCCTACTTAACATCGCCAAGTACTGGTGATCCAGGCATGAATTCATACCCAGTAGAATGAGTATCGGTTCAGTAGCTGATGGAGGAACATCGCAGGTGTGCTTAAGCACTGGTTAAGAGAAGGTGGGGTGGTCTCCACTCTGTATTCTTGGGGCTCAGCCCAGTTTTTCATACAAACCATGTTCTTGTTGGATGTTTGTTGACTGAAACAGGAACTAATGAAGGCTCAAACATTTCACCATCCATCTCAGGCTTCTCTCAGCAACCTTGTTTCCTCTGAGATGAGGTGAGATTAGCTGACAGTAACCTAAGCAACCCTAGTACAGATGATCTACTTACAGCCCTGGGGTGCTTGACTGGACTCATATCTGTGAAGGCCATTTCCATTCCTCCATTCCACTCTTCAATTGGTCTTTATTTTTTTATTTGTGCTTGATTTTATATTTCAAGTTAAGATTCTGGATTTCTCTCTAAGCTATGATTCTGCTTCCCTATCCCTGCAACAAAACCTCCATAAGTAACACCCCTTCTGAGCCCAGTCAGCCTCTGGACTTTCCTCCGGGATGCTCCAAGTCTTTTCATCTTCATCTGCTCAGATCTGACCTTTAGGACTTCCATTCCTGACATTTGATGACTAGGGATTGAGTCCATTGGGTTTATTTTAGCCCTCTTTGGGCACCTTTTAAATAAAGGAATCTTCTGTTGGGAAACCCATTAGCAATGTGTATATGAGGGGAAGTGAATTTATCAGCTTGGTTTTCCATCCTCAGGCCCAGATGGCTTATGGCAGCAGTGATATGAAGGCATGATGGAAGTCAGTGAGACAACCCACAGGTCTACTGAGGTCATTTGGGTGGGAAGAAGAAAGAGAATGCAGAAAAGGAAAAACGGACATTAAAATGTATCAGTTGCCTACTATGTGGCAGGCAGAGGGCTGTGTGTGTGTGTGTGCAAATACTATATTAATATGAGTATATCAGTTAACATTACTACTTGAATTTTATGAAAGGGGAAAGGTAAAGCTCAAATAATTAATTTGTTCAAAGTGATCTTACTATAAGAAGAGAGACAGAATTAGGAGCAGGATCAGTAGAGAACCTCATCCTCTCCACAATACCCTGTGGGCTTTGCTTCCTCCAGGATTAAACCCCCTTTTCTTTTTTTGGCTCAACAAAGAGAGATTCCAGTGCTAGATGTAAACACAGAATCTTCATGGCACATAGAATGAAAAAAGGAAAGACAAATGAATATGATGGCAGTAGTTTGTGCAAAATAATTAGTAGTATCAACACCCAACACTAACAGTCATGGAACTCTGTATTTATATTGCCGCTTCAGACATTGCCACAGATATGATATCCTTCAGATTTTTACTTTACAAGCAGTTACTAAGAGATGTCAGTTTTATTTTCTTCATTTTACAGATTTTTCTTGAGACAAATTTGTTTTGCACCCAATGGATTGGGAAAAATTAAGTTTGTCAAAAACAACTGTTGGAGAGAATGGGGAACAATGGGGACTCACACACTGTTGGTGAGACCAGTCAATGTCTACTTTGGAAAACACATCTAGGGCAGTTGAAGAGATGCATATCCTAAGACAGAGCAATTTCGTGAAGGCAATTTCTTATGAAGGGAAATGATCACATTTTATACACGGGACAACATCTATACTAATGTTGATAGCATAATAATATTCATAAGAGGAAAAACTAGAAACCACCTAAGTGATCATATTTAATCATGGATTAAAATTATTGTCATAGTAATGCAATGGAAATGAGCTAATTACATCTGTACATATCAGCTCAGTGGCTCTGGGGTTCACAACAGCTAAGTCACAGAGCAGCAATATCACAGTATCATGACTTACCTGTTTATTTGATAATTCTGAAAGTGCTCTTACCTCTGTTTTGCACACCGTGGTTGCTCATCGTGAATGAAGAACTATAAGAAAATATGTTAGAATTCAAAGAATGTTAGTATTTCTCCTTGGTGGTAAAATTCCACTCAGAGGCAAGGTCAATGATAATAGCCTGAAGTCACAGTTATAAAGCAGTTTATATTTTACTGGATAAGCTAGAAGAATCATTTGTTTTGAAAGGCACTAGGAGGCATGTTCTCCTCCTTTCTCAAGCTGGCAATATTAGACGTGGAACAAACTGACCATATAAGTTCTTCTCAGGTCTTTTCAGTGAGTGCATGTCATTATTCTTCACTTTTTGAAGCCATGAATTTAAACTTGCTTTGTAGCTACAGTCACTATGGAACACAACATTTTGCTGGTGGGGGCTCAAAATCTATAGAAACTGTTTACCAATTGAAAGTCAACCATAGAGTGGAAGAAGAATATAGAAATTATTGTATTCCTTCTAGAATTGTGTGCTGAGTAAGAAAACTTAGTGGATTATGATAAGAAAAATGCCAAAGAAAAAGAGACGATAAAACTATAAGACAAAATAACAATATGCATTTCTAACTACAAAAATGATATTATCAAGACTGTTCATCAGTGACTTTTCTTAGCACTCTACTTAATACTTAGCTGTAATTTTCTGGTTCATTTTGTATTGTGGTCAGCATCATCAATATGAGCTCCAGGTGCTACCACAGTTAAATCTAATTACATGAGAGATGCTCTATTCCAGGGATTGTGCTATTGACTAAAGCCTCTGGGTTAATTAAATGAAACCTGATCCATTTCTAGTGCCAATGAAATCAACTGAGCATATATCTGGTTTATGCTGTCACCATAAAAGCCCGAGGTCAGTTCATCCAGTCACCATACTACGCTGTGACTGCCAGTCAGACTGCTACTGAAATTCAAAATCTGACTCCGTTAAAACCAGAATCCCTCTACTAGCAGCCAGTGTACATTTCTGTTAATTGTCTGGGAAAAAATAGGGAAAAGCAAAATTTCTCTGCTCTAATAGTTTAGGATTTTTAGCAAATGTTGAAAAGAATAGAAATGTCCTCTGTGGATATTCTAGAAGTACATAGTTGACATGACTATAAGCAGAAAAAAATAAAAGCAAAACAATGAAAATGAAAATTAAAAGGCCTGGCGCGGTGGCTTAAGCCTGTAACCCCAGCACTTTGGGAGGCCAAGGCAGGTGGATCACCTGAGGTCAGGAGTTCAAGACCAGCCTTGGCAACATGGTGAAACCCTGTCTCTACTAAAAACACAAAAATTAGCTGGACTTAGTGGCACATGCCTGTAGTCCCAGCTACATGGGAGGCTGAGGCAGGAGAATGGCTTGAACCCAGGAGGCGGAGGTTGCAGTGAGCCGAGATCACACCACTGCACTCCAGCCTGGGCAACAAGAGTGAAACTCTATCTAAGAAAGAAAGAAAGAAAGGAAGGAACGAAGGAAGGAAGGAAGGAAGGAAGGAAGAAAACAAAAATGATGACTGTTTGGTTTAACAAATGATGACTGTTTGGTTTAACAAACATGTGTTGAATACTTACTAGGCACATGGTATGTTCCGGGGAATAGACAATACAGAAGACATAGCCTCTGCCTGAATGAAGGTTAGTTTATAAAAGAAACACATGCTTGTATCATAATTATAATGTAGAATAAATGTTATGGTAAAGGTGTGCACAACAGAAGTTTCTGTAGTAGTAAAAGGTCATGTAAATGAGACAAAATTGCTTTCATTCTCAGGAAAGGCTTTAAGGGAGAAAGATGAACCAAGCTGACCCCTGAAGCACGAATAGGAGTAAGAGTGTATTCCAGGCAGGTAGAGCAGCATGTGCAAAGGCCCAGAGGCAAGGAGCCATGGCCTTTTCTGCAAGAGACCAGAAAGCAGTTCCTTCTAGAGGAAAGGGAGGGTGTGGAGATGATCAGTATCATTGGAAGACTAGTGCAATAGTCCAGGCAAAAGTTGATAGTGACTGGGCCATGCAAGGAGCTAGGCAAATGGGGGAGAAATAGACATTCAATACGTTTTAGAGATATAATTTTGGGAGCTGAAAATGGATGGGATAGAGGAAGAGTGAAGATGGGAAAGAGAGCTAACTGAGTTTACTGGGATGAAAAGCTTTGCAGAGGATATTATGGGTTTCAGAATGGGACTAGAAATGAAGAGTTTGATTTTCACCATTATGAGTTTGTGCTGCCTGGGACTTAGCTAAGGAAAACTGCTCAATGGGTCATTAGATGCACAGGTCTGGAGCTAAGAGAGGTGGTTTGCAGAAGATAGGGATTTGGGAATTATCAACATGGGGTTGAAGTTTGATGCTGGAGATGGATGTGATTACGCAGGCCTTAGAGATAGTAAAGAGGACCTCGGATGAATTCTGAGGAATACCAACATTTAGAGGTCAGTTTGGGAAAAAGTCCAAGATGAGGAATTAGAAGAAGCAGCAGTCAGTTAAGAGAGGAAGAAACATCAAGAGTCTTTATTCAATAAATGAAACAAACAAATAAATAAACAAAAGAAGTGAAACCACATCAAATAACTATTACAGAAATGAGGCCAACTGGAGAGCTTGTTGTTTTTTCACTATAATGTAATGTGTGTATTTTTTACTTTTAGAAAATTACATTAAGAAAGGGGGCTGGGCATGGTGGCTCATGCCTGTAATCCCAGCACTTTTAGAGGCCAAGGTGGGTGAATCACTTGAGCCCAGGAGTTCGAGACCAGCCTGGGCAACATGGTGAGACCCCTTCTCTACAAAAAGTACAAAAATTAGCTGGGCATGGTGGCATGTACCTATAGTTCCAGCTACTCTGGGGGATGATATGGGAGGATCACTTCAGCTCAGGAGGTCAAGGCTGCATTGAGATGTGATTGTGCCACTACAAGACAGAATAAAACCCTGTCTCAAAGAAGAAGAAAGAAGAAAGAAAGAAAGAAAGAAAGAAAGAAAGAAAGAAAGAAAGAAAGAAAGAAAGAGACAGAAAGAAAGAAAGGAAAGAAAAGAAAAGAAAGAAAGGAAAGAAAAGAAAAGAAAGAAAAAAGAAAGAAAGAAAAGAAAAAGAAAGAAAGAAAAAAGAAAGAAAAAGAAAGAAAAAGGAGGAGGAAGAGAAGGAGGAGAAGGAAGAGGAGGAGAAGGAGGAGAAGGAGGAAGAGGAGAAGGAAGAGGCGGAGAAGGAAGAGGAGGAGGAGGTGGTGGAGGAAGAGGAGGAGGTGGAGAAAGAGGAGGAGGTGGAGGAAGAGGAAGAGGATATTGTGGTATGGGGAAGAGTTTTGTATTTAAGCTGTTTGGGGCTTAGACACCAGATGGTCCCCAAAGCACAATGAAGCTACATGCCTAGTACCCACAGGCCAAACGAAGTTACTGAAGGTGCCAAATGGGACCAGGGAAGAAAGTAAAGTAGGGAAAGGAATAGGGTATGGTGATCATGCCCCCAATATACAGGGCCTGGCAATAGCAATGAGAGCAAGCGTCTACTGGGCTCTTGCAACATGCCTGACTCTGCCCTAGGTTTCTCATGTAAGACAATGAGGTTGCACAGGTCACGTAGTTCACTGCTGATAAAGTCAGGCAACCTGGCTTCGGTGGATCCTGCTTAACCACTATTCTGTTCCACCACAAACATGGTACATCCCCAGCAAATACTTACTGAATCAATTAAAGGCAGCATTTTAGCCTTGGGCAGGCACCAGGGATAGTCAGGATTTATGGGCTGCATTTTTATAATCAAGTCCTAATGGGCAGCACTGGCTACTGAACAGTGCTTGGACTTTGAGGTTGGGCTTGGCTTCCATGGTAAAGGGCTCGATCTTTCTCAGCTTCATGTTTTTCATCTGAAGAATTGATGCAAATTATCTCCTGGATTCATTAAGCTTTAAGCTGGGGTTCTATGGAGGAATAGGAGAGGAGTGTTCCAAGTAGGGAGAGGGTGGAGAGGAGCAAATACGGGGGGAGGGACTACAGGCGGGAGAGGCGCATGTGCTAATACCATGCATTAAGTGGCATTGTGGTTGCTGGCAGGCATCTGATGAGGCTGCAGTGCCCCAGAGTGAGAGGAGAGTGGCTTGAACTGGGGTCAGAGGCACTGGCGAGAGTGAGATCATAAGGGCCTTACAGCACCTAATACTGGAGGCCCTGGATTTTGTTTTAGGGCAGTCACTACTAATTTAGTGACTTCGGTCGATAAATATCGTGCCTGAGCCTTGGCTTCTTTAACTGTTCAGTTGGGTTGACAGTTGTCACAAGAAGCGGGGCAGGCAAGTATCTAATCCGATGATTCCGGTGAGGGCATTTTCAACAACACTTGGTCACCTGGCCATCAATTGCTGTTCAGAAGTAACTAAAGCTTTGGTGTGGTCATCAACCCAGAATAGTTTGAAACAACCAACTTTTCCTCCCAGGTTGATTAGCATCCTTTCCAGTTAATCCTATCTGGTTAATCCTTAAAATTTCCCAAACTTCTCTAACACTCAATCATTTATAAATTTCCGAAAGAACAACATTATCGAAATCAGTAACAGCCGTAATTCACAAGTTTCTCTTGAACCTCATTATTGGGCTTCAGACACAAAGACTTTTGTTTCTCAGAAAGTCTTCGTGATCATTTATCTGAGACAGCACATGGCCTGACCCCCAGCCTCAGACCTGAGAAGGGATTCCTGGCTCCTTACCTGCTAACGGCAAGTGGAGTCTCTTGAGAATTTTGATTTTGTAACAGATGAGTTGATTCAGGCTTCCTCTGGTTATGAGGGACTATATAAAACAGTGACATAATTTAGTCAGATTGCAAAAGAAGAATAATTGAGAACCATTAGAAGCCCATTGGAACTACTATAATTTCCTCCAAGTAATCTCTGATTGTTAGAAAGGGGCTCTTGATGGTCAGTGGAAACTGTAACTCACATATTCTACAACTCTTCTGCCTCCTGAGAATGACTTTTATATTATTTATATTTATATGTTGTAAAAATCACTTTGAATATTTACAAGCTAGAACACATTATTGAACCTCCCAGAAATACAGAATATTATATTGGAAGGTATTTAGGGATTATTCTGGACCTGTGATTTTAAAAGATTTTTAGCTTCATCCTCATTCATTCATTTATATCATCTGACAGATATTTACTGAACAGCTACTATGGGACAAGTACTCTGCCAGAGTCTGGGAATACAGTGGAGAAGAAGACAGACGTGGTTCTTACGTTCTAATGAAAGGAAATGGAAATAAACATGCAAGTAAGTCAATAAGAACGTTTCTATTAGGCAATACACTGATATAAAGGAAATGAAGTACTACTTTGGGATACAGAGTGACTATACGTATGGCTAAGAAAGACCCTTCTGAGAGATGAAATCTTAACAAGAAGAAAGTTACATGAAAGGACTGTTCTGGCTGATGGAGAAGATTGGGGTGCCCAGCTTGTCATGGCACTTGTATTCTCATGCCCTCCTGTGATAGGGCAGGTGAGCTCCTAGGGTTCTGAGGTAGACCAGCAGTCTCTACCTGGTTCCAACTAGGGATACAGTTTCTCAATTTCTTTCCCCCTCGATCATCAAGTTTTTAAAAGTTCTGCCAGCCATACAATCTGGAGTTATTTAGTAATTACATATGCAGTTTATGTTACTGCTTTTTATTTTCTTTTCATCACAGACAGATTTAACTAGCCATCCAGAATTGCCAAGGGCACATCATAATACTACGATATAAAATCTCATAAAACACTCTCCCAGCTGTGACCATAAGTAATAAAGCGAAGGGTGCATACAGGCACCGGCATGTTTTAATTGTGCTTGTTGCTCTGTGTTCTGCCCAAGGTTCATCACAAACCGGACACCTTTGATCGAAGGACTGTGATTACTTGAAACATGGGTCAGCGGCTGGTCCATGAATCACGCATTCCATAAAATCATTTCATGTCATCAGCAGCCACCCAGAGTATCTGCCCCTCTTGAGCTGAACAATGCCACGTTGTTGTGTTAACACTCATGGTTGTGTGGTCTGATGGAACAATACCTGAACATTTTAGTTAGGATGTTGAGCTGTGTTGTGGGAAAGGGCATGGTTTCAGTTAGGTTAGTGAATTATTTCGGCTTGCCAACAACTCCTACTCCTCCCTCGGGGACTCATGGGGAATCCATAAACCCAATTTAGGCCTCATTTCCAGTTTAGCTTTGTCACTGTGTAGAGAAGAGCAGACCTGAGCCTCACAGAGGAAACGCAACTTGACCAAAACCACACAGTGATTTTGTGGCAGGCTTCTGAAATCCTAACCTAATATTGCTCTGTTGAACTATGATGTCTTTTGTGAACTCTTTGGGCTGTGATGCAGGCCCTTTGGCTCTGGACATAATTCATCATTCTAGAGGAATGGAGAACAGTGTTTCCCAGGTGAATATGAAAGTACTACCTGCTTAGCATCCTGCCATTTAGGATATGAGTGACTGTTGGATTGCATGCTTGCACAACAACACCAACACTGTAGAGGTATGTGCATGTGTGTACATGTGCATGTGCATGAAAGAGACACACGTGTGTGTGCATGGGTGACATCAGAGGCAGAGATACCAAGAGCTTCTTTGGAGCAGGGGACTGGCTATGTCTTTCCAAAGTGGTGGAGGGTGACAGTGTAATGCCTTTTGGTCAGTAGTGTATGGCTAAAGAAAGATGTCTGGTCTATTCTGGATTTAAATCACCCTGTTTAGACTAGAGGACTCTGAGGTCCTTGGGATGTATGTGTGTGCATGAGGATCATGTCATCATGCACACACATACATCCCTATCCCAGGCTTCCAAACAATCAATCCCTTTCAATACCCATAAGCACTGTAGATCTAGAAAGAGAACCAATCTATTAGTATTAGGGTAAAGAAACAAATGTAAACAATTCACCTTTTTCTGCTTCAAGGACCTGTATTGAATTAAAAAAAAAAAAAATTTACTGACTTTTGATGACAGAGAATTTAATAGAATACCATGTGTGTTTTCAGAGCATTTGGTTGGTAGAATTTTGGTAAAATTTTTGTTAACATAGTTCATATATTTTTTTAAAATCTACAAATAATTCCTCAGAAAACTGAACAAAAATCAAAATTTTGTAATCGATGTGTGAAGGAACAGACAAGTCCACAGTCTGCTGATGGGACTATCCATTGCTTTGACTCTTTTAGAAAGTAATTTACCATAATTATCTAAAACCTTAGAAATACTCTTATTCTTATCTCAATAATTCCATTGATGAGACTCTTTTTCTAAGACACAACCTGAAATCTGAGCCAAGTTCTATGCACAAAGATGTTCTTTGCATCCTTCCTTTTACAGAGTTAAATCACTGGAAACAATCTACGTGCCCAGATAACTGAACATTGTTAATTTTGGTACTATACTCACTTATTGGAATATTATAAAGACACTATATGTATTTATATAGAGAATGAAATAAGATTATAAGTATGCATCCATGTTACATTTAAAGTTTGGAATAAAAAATGGACCCATGATATATTTTTATGCGATTATATTTTATATCCATGTATATTTGTGTGTATGCAGAAGGAATGATTTGAAGTAATATGATAAAATATTAAAGGTTGTACTTAAGCAATAAGGCTATGGTTAATTTTTTCTTTATACTTGCTCTGAAATTTCTATTTTTTAAAATAAGCATGGAAATATTCACATTATCCGTTTTAAATGTAGCCATTTATCTTCCCAAACATTTTCTTTCTCTTTCCTTCCTTATGGTGGTAGAATTCTTGATCATTCTTCATTATGAAAATCTTCATGCTTATTGGGCTTGTATCTTTGGGCCCTATTCTACTCTACCCTTGAAGAAGCAAAAAGCATTACAGTAGGTACAGTGTTTGCTGCAGTATTTATTTAACTGCAAATAATTTTAGGAAGTCCATGTATATATTGCATCAGTTGAAGAAGACCTCAGGTATCATTTAGATGAGAACTGCTTTAACCAGGGGGATGAAATAGATTATTGAATGGTCTAGTGGGGTCCATGAACCTTCTGAAATGAAAAGCTAACTTTTTTTCTCTCTAAGTATGTATATATTTTTTGTTTTTCTGGGGTGAGAAAGGTTTATTATACCTTTCATCAAATTTTCAAAGTGGTGTGAGGTCCATTAAATGTTAAAAACAGTTGGTTTACAGATGAGGTCCCAAAGGGTCATGCCATTCTCCTAGATTCCCGCAGTCATCTGAAGGCTAAGCTAACCCTGAGCCCAGCTCTCCTGACTCATAGTTGCTTCACAGATAAGAAACTTTTGGCAACAAATTGCTTAGAGAGGCATTGTACGCCTCCCTCTGAAGCTGGCCAACAGAGAAGACTTTTTATTTCAAAGACTTTGGCATTCCCTAGGATTCTGGAAAGAGGACATACATTTCATTATGGACAGAAAATCAAAGAAACTCTATAGGCTAAGTAAAAAGAGTAATGAATCCATTCTAGTGAGTGGTTTGAAAGTATCCCTACTGAGTCTCCCCCAGGACTTTGAACCTGGCTGTTCAAAGTGCTCAATCCTATGCAGCTCTCAGGCTTGTCAACGGTGAGGGGAAGAAGAGACGCGAAGAGTGCAGAGAAGCCCTCTATCTGGGGGAGCAGTTGTTTTATTTAATTGAGACCAACCAACTTTTGGCTTGAGGGCTCTGAATTTAAAATCAAATGTAGTTAGAAAAGTAGCATGAAATCACTCATTTTTCTTCTGTAACTTTTTTATTGTTAGAAAATAAACATAGTCAAGTTAAATAGTAGTATCTCTATTACCTGTCTCCCTCTTACTTCTTCCTCTTTTCCTTTCTCCTCCCTCTTTCCCTTTTCCTTCCTCCTTTTCTTTCACCTTCTCTGCCCCCTCCTTTCATTGCTTCCTTCCATATTCTTTTTAGTTATTTTAGTTCAGAGCTATTTCTGTATGTTTTAAGGCAGAGAGACACGGCGGTGGGGAAGACACCTAGACTTGGGGATTTCCAGGACTGGCCCTATCTCCTCCCGGCTGTGAGGACTCTTTGCCACCTCTCTGGAGTTTCGTTTTTCTCTTAAGGCTTTGTGACTATAAAATGAGACAATACAACTATAAAATGCCATGTGAATTTGAGTGGGGGCAGCTAGCACGTAAAAGATTCTAGTCCACAAGACAGTGTTCAAGCAAGCACTGAGTGCAGGCACAAGCACAGCTTGCCCTGATGGGCTTTTGTTATGAAGAAATGGCCTTGAATCTCAGCCCAAACAAACAATGGGGAAGTGTCTTGGCAAAAGATAAGGAGCAACAATGTGTTTTTCCACTAGACCTTCTTGTTCTTTAGATGATATCAACTTCTAGCAGAATGCCAACTAAAGTTGCAAAGAAAACAAACAGTTCTGCACATTTCCTGCCATCTAAGGCTGACCCCCGTCTCCCAATTCCTTTTTGCTTGTTTGTGATTGGGAGGCCTACTGTCCTCGCAGACTGACCAACAGGTTATGATTTGAGGTCATCGTGAGCAGCACCCAACTACTATTCGAGATACCTAAGCCTAGCTTATAGGAAGCAGGGGACAGAGTCCTGGATTCAGGCACCTTGGATGTGCGGGTTCCCCCAGCAGCCGAGCAACACCCCAGCCTGCTCCTTCCAGGTGACACTAAGGAAGTGCACCCCCTCCCAGAAGAGCATGAGCCTGGTGAAGTCCTCAGTGGAACCAGAACTGTTTTTCTCATCAAGTGGTTATGTATGTTATCTTTCTTGACATTATTGTCTTGTGGATTAGGGAGATTAGAGGTAATAAATGTCTTGTTTCAGTGACAAGCTGGAAATGTGACTTTTTGATTTTAACATTCTCACAAAACCAACAAATGAAGCAAGGAAAGAAATTCATGTCTAAGATCTAGATAAGAGCATTGATCAAACACAAAGACAAGAACAAAATTCCTTAGAATCCAGTGGGAGTGAGGTGAGGCCACTTGTGTTGTTGGACAGTCTTTCCATCAGTCATGGTAGCCCCACTAGCCTTGCAGGGAACTTTCTCTTTGGGCACTGAAGGGAATCAATACCCTTGGAAGGCTCTACTACAACTTGTATCTCACATGTCTTTTATGCCATTTATTGAGCCGCTACTGGTCACCTGGCCATTTGTGCACTACTTACTTTTGACTTTATCACATCAACTTTGCACAGGAGTGTATCCACCCCTATTTTATTTTTAGTTATTTAATTTATTTATTTATTTTGAGACAGAGTTTCTCTCTTGTTGCCCAGGTTGGAGTACAATGGCACCACCTTGGCTCACTGCAACTTCCACCTCCCAGGTTCAAGCGATTCTCCTGCCTCAGCCTCCCGAGTAGCGTAGCTGGGATTACAGGCATGCGCCACCACAACGGGCTAATTTTGTATTTTTAGTAGAGATGGGGTTTCTTCATGTTGGTCAGGCTGGTCTTGAACCCCCGACCTCAGATGATTTGCCCACCTCGGCCTCCCAAAGTGCTGGGCTTACAGGTGTGAGCCACTGCACCCAGCCCCCATCCCTATTGTATGGCTGAGGAAACAGAAACTGGGATGAGTAGGAGCATTTTCTGAAGTTCACAAAGCGAGTAGGTGGCAGAGCAGGATTCCTACCCAGGTCTTGTGCAACTCTGAATCTCATGTTCCTTCTACTTTGCATTCCTATCTTTCTTATGAAGGGCAAATAGCAAAGAGCAATACTATTGCTAACACTTGATTTCTGTAATACTGGAGGCTGGAAGCCATCAGTCGATACTGCATATCTTCCATGTGGAACTGGGCATGTTCTTATACCAACGAACCCTGAATGACCATGGTGGCCAAACAGGATCTTGGTTTAAAATCTGGAGCTAAGCTTGTTTTACTTTGGCTTTCTCATCTTTAAAATAGAGATACTAATGCATTTTGAGCATAGTTACTGTCAGAATTAACTGTAAGTATCTGAAGCAAATAGAATCTTGCCTATTGCAGACATTTAATGCCTCAAAATTCCCTTCTTTGCATCCAAGGATAAAATTGCTACTTACCTCACTTAAGTCCCTTAAGCTTATCTGACTGCAAGAAAAAGAAATATGGTGTTACATAAAACACAGTTCATAATGACCAAGATAAAATCATTCTAAGCCTTACAAACCTTTGATTACATTTTCATTGCCAAATTAACAGCCCATCGTCCAGTGTGATATTTATCCCTCTTCCATAAAACTAAAGCCAGGTTATTTTTCTCATAATTTTCTAAGGAAAAGACAAAGTTAAGAGCCAAAATAAAAGGTGGTGATAGAAATGACATGAATAAACTTGCATCTCATTTTGGGAGAAATTTAAAAAAACATCATTTCTCTTGACGTTTCATTTCCTATGTCAAGTTTCATTAGCACAGTCAGACCTATTATCAACTTGGTTTTAAAGCTTTTAGTTTTTTACTTTGAGGGAACGTAAAGAGTTTTCAATATGAAGCTGTCAGGGGCAGTGGGATCCCAGGAAGGCAAGTGTAAGAGAAGAATGCTGATAAAGAACGGAGATTTCAGACACGAGAAAAAAAACAAAACAAAACATGAAATTGAGTGGTAGAGAAAAAAAATCCAACATGGAATTGAATAATGTGAATTTTGGAAAGGTCTCTAAATAAACTCCAAGCTTTTCATTCTATTGGCGAGTCAATTAACTTCTCTAAACCTCCTTTTTTTTTCATCTTCAAAATGGCAACAAGAGTACTTAGGAGTGTTAATGTGAGAATTGCTAGAAATAAAAAAGTAACAATGTTGGGGCCCGGTGTCTTGGCTCATGCCTGGAATCCCAGCACTTTGGGAGGCTGAGGGGGGCGGATCACTTGAGGTCAGAAGTTCGAGACCAGCCTGGCCAACATGGTGAAACCTTGTCTGTACTAAAAATACAAAAATTAACTGGGCGTGATGGCACATGCCTGTAGTCCCAGCTGTTCGGGAGGCTGAGGCGGGAGAGTAGCTTGCGCCCAGGAGGTGGAAAGGTTGCTGCAAGCTGAGATCGTCCACTGCACTCCAGCCTGGGTGACAAAGCGAGACTGTGTCTCAAAAAATACATAAATAAACAAACAAATAAAAATAACACTGTTGGGCATTCAATGTGCGTTGTTGTCAGAATGTGGTCAAAGTTTGGTGAAGAAACTATGAAGGGTGTGGAATGAGGGTATATGTTCCACCTCCCCAGATCCGTCAGTGAAAACACTGGATGTGAAGAATATGGGACTATTAAGCATGCAACACTGATCACAGGTAAAGGCTATTGATCTAGAGTTTTAGGAGTCAGGCTGTATCAGTATCCCAGAAACAAACAGTGCTCAGATGCTAGATCCTGGAAGCAAAAGGCAAGGGTCCCAAGGTTCCACGGTTTTACCCTCTTACCTCTTACACCCTCCCTCCCCCTTTTAGCTGGAAACCTGAGAAAACAAAGAGATTTGAATAGAGGTAATGAAGTAGAACAAACACCCAGAGTATTAATTATTTTGGGGTTAAAATGTGGCTAATCTCAGTATTTAATGTTTAAGAAGCCAGCGTGTTAAGGATACTGAAAGATTGGCTGTATGGCTTCAATTTAAAATGCAGATTTGAAGTTCCAAGTGTCAAGATGTGTTTGTCTCCATTTTAAAGAGTTTGAACTGTTTAAGAGAAATTACAATTTTCTGTATTTATACATTTACTTTCTTGGATTTATAGAAAGTGTTAAAGTTTTGCTGGCTAGTATTTAAACCTACCCTGTCAACATTAGAAGTACTTAAAAATCAAAGAAATTGAATTTATAAAGGTATTTCAAATATTTAAGGAGATTTAAATGAGTTCGTTAAACAGTTTTACTAAGATTCTTTAACCTATTTAACTTGAGTTGGTTGAACATTTGTTGAAGACTAAGCAAAGTGATTGTCTTTCTGTTTGGATAAAATCACTTGATTTATAAATAGAGCAATACACTTTATAGATGGAAATCTGAGGCTTCAGGAAAGCTTGGGTTTGGAATTTGCAGCTTTAATAAATGGAATTTTAACTGAGAACCTAAGTGATTGTAAGAAGCCATTTCTGTGCAGACAAGAGTTTCTTACTCTTTAAGAGCTTTGAACACATGTGTGTCCAAGTTCTGTCTGCTGAAGATGGCCAAAAAAACCATAGTCATTAATTTTTTTTTGCATTTTTTCCTATGCATAAGAGGTCCTCATTATAAATATAAAGATATTACCTTTTACTGTAAATATAGGCCTTCCTGGGAATCCCTTAGTTTTTGGCTTAGTTTTAAATGAATTGAATTTGATTCTTGCTCTGTCATCTGTGGGCTCTGTCACCCTGGATAAGTTAAATTCTCTCTCTGAAGCTTTGTTTTCCCACCTGTGAAATTGGTAAATCCAGAGAGTAGTGAGGAGATTTGCTGAAGATTCTAATGAAAGCATGTGATGTGAAAGCTATTTGGAGTGAAGTAACACTCTACATTTGCAGAACATTTTAATGTTCACATATGCTTTGAAATTAAACTTTTTATCCTGAGATAATGATGGATTCCCATGCAGCTGTGAGAAATAATACAGAGTTCCTGTGTGTCCTATATCCAGTTTCCCCCAACGGCAACAACTTGGAAAACAATAATTATAATGTTTATACTTTAAAATCAATAGTTTCCATTCATAGATAGAAATCTGTATATCTCTATAACCACACTTTCTCTTTTAAAAGACCATGGTTTCTTGATATCTATAAAGATTTTTTGTTTTCGCTTCCCAAATCATCAGAGCATATATTTTTGCGATAGAGATTGCTTGAATTGATGTGATGCCAGCATTGCTGGTTGTAAAGGGAAAACTGGCTGGCCGTGTTGCCTCATACCTGTAAACCCAGCACTTTGGGAGGACAAGGCGGGTGGACTGCCTGAGGCCAGGAATTCAAGACCAGCCTGGACAGGAGTGTTAGTGAGACCCTTGTCTCTACTTAAAAAAAAAAAAGGAAAGCCATCGTTAGGCAAGTGGATGTTTTGTTTCTTAAATATTGGGTGCTTCATTTAAATTATATTTTGGCTGAACCCCACCTTGGGCCATTAAGTGTACTGGAGCTTAAAGGATATATGGAACAATGAACTCTCAATTTCTTAATTTTTATCAGTAAATTGGAGATAGTAATATTGCTTTTTTCACAGTGCTGTTGTGAGACTAAATGAATGTGAACATATATAAAACTCCAAACCAGGCCTGGTGTGTAGTTAAAACTCAGAAAATGTTGATTACTCTTGCTGTTACTCAGGATGATTTTATTTGGTGTATGGACCATGGTATTAAAATTGCAATGGATTCGTAGAAGAAAAATTATCCCCTTTTTAATTGTCTTTCAGATTATGTCAAGGAGAAAGGCTTAATGGAGTGGTTAAGTAGATATGAAACACCTTTCTAATATTTGCTTACCTTCCCTTTTATCAGAGGGAAAATTCCCCAGAGCTCAAAGTTTTGGTTGGAAGCTATCTGTATTGAAGTTGTTTATAATAATTATATGTATTTCTTTTAAGTAAATTTATTTAAGTTGAAAAAAATGAACAGGGCAGAAAAAATAATTAAGTACATGGATATTGTAAAAATCATAATAATGGTGCGTAAGTGGTTGAGAATGTCCAACGAACATTCTCCAAACTTCGAAGTTCTCTTCTGGTTTTGAGTTGTCAATGAATGACTGGGGTGACGTTTTCCTTTACTGAAGTGCTTCAATTCAGTAATTGTTTTGTGGAACCAAGGCTTAGCTTTAAAAAAGAGAATAGCAGAGCTGGCAGAGACAAATGGGGCCTGAAACACAATAGCTGGAACCACAAAGACCATCCAGGGTGAGCACAGCCTGCTGCAAAGGGCTGCAGCTGTCTAACTGCCTGCCATTGATACAGTTGATTGCCAGATGTAAATCATGGCCTCTGCCTTAGGGAAGGCAATTCATTTCACTCACAGTGCCTTACCAACAGCTGGCAGAGACGGAGCAGGCACTTAGCTGCATGGTTCGGCTGCAGAAGCTTTGATTGCCAATGTTCCTTCTGTTTTCAGAGCAATATCCTTATGTGGTTGATTACATGGGACTTGGGCATCACTAATGCTGCTGTTACCACCCATGTGGGCCCTGCTAAAAATGAATTTGAAAGCACATCTCTCTTTCAGAAGCAAAGCCATCTCATGTATCATGGTAACCCCAGTGTCTGCTATGGGGCTGTGGAAGTTTTTGCCCCATCAATAGTCAAATGTCAACCCTGTGACTTTGAGTGACCTAACTTCTCTGAAGCATGGTGACCTTAGGTGCCCAGTGAATATGCAAGTACTATTTACTGAGCACGTGTGCCATCCACTGGGCTTGGCACTTTACTCTTCCGAAGCTTAGGAAACCATACTTTACAGGGCTGCTGGAAAAATTCGATAAGAGAAAATAGAATTACTCTCTTGAGGTGTTTTGGTGAAGAGATCCAGCACAATTCTCATCACATCTAAAAACGATTAAATAAATGTAAACTGTAACTACAGGAACCCCAGAGACATCAAATGCCAACTTCTAAAGATGTCAGCACCACCAAGACAGTGACCCAATAGACTGGTGTGGTTCGGGCCCACAGAGGGACACATTTGCCAATCGAGTGAGCATTATGTTACACTCTGGAAACCTGGGCATAGATAAGGCTGAAATACCTTCAAAGCTTTTGTAGTGGATGTATTCCTCCAACCTGGTTCCCTCTGGGTTCTTAGCCCTGTCTGCATATTAGCTTCACCTGGAGGAGCCTTAAACATTCTGATGCCCAGGTCCTACTTCAGAGCAATTAAAATAGATACTAGGGATAGTGCTTTAAAATAAGCTTTCTAATTATTTTAGTGTAAAGCCAGGATGAGATCCACTGTACTATAAAATACAGCCTCTGGTTGGGCGTGGTGGTTCATACCTGTAATCCCAGCACTTTGGGAGGCCGAAGCAGGGGATCATGAGGTCAGGAGTTCGAGACCAGCCTGACCAACATGGTGAAACCCTGTCTCTACTAAAAACACAAAAATTAGCCAGGTGTGGTGGCGTGTGCCTATAATCCCAGCTACTCAGGAAGTTGAGGCAGGAGAATCGCTTGAACCTGGGAGGCGGAGGTTGTGAGCCAAGATCACGCCACTGCCCTCCAGCCTGGGCAACAGAGGGAGACTCCACCTCAAAAAAGAAAAAAATACAGTCTCTATTTCTAGAAAAACATATGGTTATGGATGCTGGATACCCAATTCTGCTGAGAACACATGGGAGAAGCAGGGTTTCTTTACCCTTCCCTCCTTCCCTTCCCTTCCTTCCTTCTCTTGCTTGCTTTTTCTTTTCTTCTTCTTTTCCTGGCTGTGACAGATATTATCCTAGGCACTTTACAGGAATGGCATGCCTTCTCATCATCATTTTATCACATGAAGATGGTTATTTTCTTCTTATAAATAAGAAAAGCAAAACTCAGAGTTGTTAAAGAGCTTTTCTGAAATCGTACAGCCAAAAGTGGCTCAACTGGGATCCAAACTCATTGCTACCGGGTCCCAAGATACTGTTCTTTTCAGCATGAGGAAACAGAAAGAAGATAAAATTCTTTTTTCTCCACACTGAACAACCTTATCATCTTCAATATTTTATTTTAGTTTATTTATTTATTTTTTTGAGACAGAGTCTCCCTCCGTCGCCTTCTGTCGCAGGAGTGCAGTGGTACAATCTTGGCTCACTGCAACCCTTGCCTCCTAGGTTAAAGCGATTCTCATGCCTCAGTCTCCAGAGTAGCTGGAATTACAGACATGCTCCACCCCACCCAGCTAGTTTCTGTATTTTTGTAGAGATGGGGTTTCGCCATGTTGGTCAGGCTGGTCTTGAACTCCTTGCCGCATGTGATCCGCCTGCCTCGGTCTCCCGAAGTGTTAGGATTAGAGGCGTGAGCCATTATGCCCAGTCTCGGTATTTTATTGATCCTATTTTCTGTCTGCTTACTTCTCTGAGGTTGGATCAGTCCTTTACATATTAGACTATTTGACCAGGAGTTTTAGGAATGCTGCATTTCACGTTTCCAATTCTGATGACACAGCTTCACGGGTTGGATGGTCTGTTATTACTGTTGCTTCCCAGTTTCTCACTCTTTGAAAATGGAAATCAAAACAGAGCAAATCTGCTTACTCCTAGTCTGGATAGGTTCCTTTGAAAGCTGCAGAAGGAAATTTATATTTATCCAACATCTACTATATTTCAGGCACTGTGCCAGGTTATATGGGTGCTGAAATGAGTCATTTCCTCCTCCACCCCTTCCTGGGGTAGAAGAATCAGACATGTTAACTTGTTATATTATATGGGGTAACATAGATACCCATGGGCCCAAGGTAATAAAAGTGCAATAAATGTTGGTTAAAAATAGGTACTGGGCAAGCATTGTTAAGCAATTTATAGGAATCACCTCATTTAATTCTCACCTTAGCCCATGAGGTAGGCGGTAGATATTAATATTATCTGTTCTTTACTGCAGAGTAAAACCTTGGGCTTGGAAAAAGTTCAGTACTTTGCTAGAAGTGTTAGGGCAAAGTTTTTCAACCTTTGCAATATGAACCTTTTAAGGTTATTCTCTGTTGTGGCGCAGTCCCGTGCACTGTCGGATGCTCAGCAGCCTCCTTGGCCTCTACTCTCTAGCAGCCAGTAGCATCGCTTATTCAAGATGCTGCAACCAAAAATGTCTCCAAACATTGCTAACTGTCCAATGGGGAGAGGGAGGATAAAGTCACCCGTAATTTAGAATCACTTCCCCAGATCCATCATTCATGAGCAGTAGAATCTAAATTTCAACCCTGACATAGTTTGGATCTGTGTCCCCACCCAAATCTCATGTTGAAGTGTAATCCTCACTTTTGGAGGTGGGAGATGATTGGATCACGAGGGTGGATCCTTCATGAATGATTTAGCACCATCCCCTCAGTGCTGTTCTCATGATAGTGAGTTATTGCCAGATGTGGTTGTTTAAAGGAGTATAGCAGCTGCCCCCTCACTCTGTTGCTCCTGCCATGTAAGACAAGCCTGTTTCCCCTTTGCCTTCTGCCGTGATTGTAAGTTTCCTGAGGCCTCTCTAGAAGCTGAGCACATGCCAGAATCATGCTTCCTGTACAGCCTATGGAATTGTAAGCCAATCAAATCTCTTTTCATTATAAATTACCCAGTCTGAGATATTTCTTTATAGCAACGTGAGAACTAATACAAACCCAAACCATTTGAATCCAGACTTGAGAGCCTCTGTTCCTTCCCATGCTGCCATGGCAGTTGAAAGGGGGACAGAAAAGAGAGGGCATTCCATGGGAAAGACAACAAGGAAGGTGTTTCTTGGAAAACTTATGCTTGTGTGGGGCTATAGTGGAGGACATGGTGAAGAGACATTCGCCACAGAAGGAGGAATGACATTTCAGGCTATTTAATGGTCCCCATTAGAATCAGTGATTAATGGGTTTCCCATAGAAGCTCAAAATGAGTCTGATATCCTGAGTTTCTGTATCCATGAGAAATGCTTTCTCACTAAATAATGCCTGTGCCCCACACTGCTGATGCAAGCTTGAAGAAGGATGAAAAATAAGAAAGCATCCTTCATTCTATGCAGAAATAAGAAGGAAATGCTAATCTCTTTTCTGACTTTCAAAATAAGGTAATTTTGGAAATTTAAACTCTTTTGGGCAAATGAAATATGCTCACTCGAGTTTGTCGCATTCTGTGATTAGCACCAGCTGCCAAATGTCCCACACGTTTGGGAACAAGGAGCCGTCATCAGTGCTTAATACCAGAGGGATGGTTTATTATATTTATTTTTCATAAAGGCAATAATGTTTTTGACAAAAGAGTTTTCAAGCATGGTTATATTTCTCCAGCCTGGGTAATGGGAAGCTGGGGGCCAATATTGGTCCTGGAATAATCTGAATCCCCTTTCAGTTCTTACATAAAATATGCTGATTCTGTTCTGGCATTTGACATTTTCTTTATAAACTAATTCAGGCCGCAAGTGAGCAATTCTTTCAATAACTCATTTTCTTACAGAGAAGCGGTATTTCCTGCAAAGAATCAAACCACAGGTTTCTAGGACTGTTTTCCTCTAGGTATAACTGGTTCCTCCCTGACATGGTTAGGCTTCGTGTCCCCACCCAAAGCTCATCTTTAATTGTAATCCCCAGGTGTTGAGGCAGAGACCTGGTGGGAGGTGACTGGATCAGGCGGCGGTTTCCCTTATGCTGTTCTCGTGTTACTGCATGTGTTCTCATGAGATCTGGTGGTTTTATAAGGGGCTCTTCTCCGTTTGCTTTGGACACAGGCTCTCTCACCTGCTGCCACCTAAGACATGCCTGCTTCCGCCTCCACCATGGTTGTCAGTTTCGTGAGGCTTCCCAGCCATGTGAAACTGTGGGTCAATTAAAACTTTTTTCTTTATAAATTACCCAGTCTTGGTTATGTCTTTGAATGGACCAAAACACTCCCCACCCATTAGGGAGCCTGCTCTGACAGGTACTTTGGTTGGTTTTCCTTGTCCCCCTCCCCCACACCCACACTCTTGCTGGTCATTTCACCATTAATGATGACTCTCTCACCTGGGCATTCTCTGGACTTCCGGAAAGGTGTGTCTCTGAGCTAAAGGTGGCCTGCTGCTCTCCGGCTCAGGGGGCAAGGGCTGGTACTGCTTCGGAAGTGTGATGAGAGGCCTGTGTGGAGAGTCGCAGTAGGATCCTGAGAAGGTTTGTGGCAGCAGTGACGCCTCAGGCCTGAATCCACACTGCTCTGCCCCCTGCGTCCCCAGCTTTGGGTTGAAAATGCTAGTTTTTGGATGCTAACTACAGAGCAGACTGGTCAGGTCTGGCACTGTTTTCTAAAGGGCGTGATATAATTTTCTATAGGGAGTCAACGTGCTCCTCCATAGTGCGCCTGTTTTGGCTTTAGGAGGCCTGTGGAGAAAATGATAACAGCCTTCCATTCATCCCAGACCGGCAGATCTGGGTTTTTAGAACTACCCAAAGAAATATTTTAAAAAATGACTGGGCACGGTGGCTCACGCCTGTAATCCCAGCACTCTGGGGGCTGAGGTGGGTGGATCACCTGAGGTCAAAAATTCAAGAGCAGTCTGGCCAACATGGCAAAAGTCCGTTTCTACTAAAAATACAAAAATTAGCCAGTCACGGTGGCATGCACCTGTAATCCCAGCTACTCACAAGACTGAGGCAGGAGAATCACTTGGGCCCTGGAGGCAGAGGTTGCAGTGAGCTGAGATCACACTACTCTACTCCAGCCTGGGCGACAGAGCCAGACTGTCTCCAAAAAAAAAAAAAAAAAAAATATATATATATATATATATATATGTATGTAAATGTTTGAAAGTCAGTGAATGCCTCACTCATATTTTATTCACCCATTCACTCATTTGTTCATAAAGTATATCAGGTACTTTGGTAGATTTTTGGTTTAAGCTGCTTCCCTCTAGCAGGGAAGACAGAGAGGTGAAGAAATGATTGGCAGAGTGTGTAATGCATGCTATGGTAGAGGTGCTCAGGGGTCCCAGATAGAGCAACAAGAGTGGCCAGTCACTCAGAGCCTCTGCAGCTGTCTGTTGCTCTTTTCTCCACAGATATGTGTAAATGTAATAGTATTTATATATGTATCATATATGTGTGTGTATATATATATCACATGAATATATACTTAATATGTTGTAAGTTCCCTGAGGGCATATCCCATTTTCATATGAATCTAGGCCTGCCAGTAGTATACCCAGCAATATCATCCAGCAGATTTCTGTACTGAAAGAAAGGAGAGGAACAGAAAGAAACAGGAGAGGAATACATTCATCAAGAAATAACGAGTGAAGGTATATTGAATAGATAACTGTGAATGAATGAATAAATGATTAAATAGATGGATGAAGGCTTGTTTAATCTTGTTCATTGAATATCTCATATTATTTTTTTTTTCTATATCCATCTCTCACTCTGAAATCATATTAGATTTTCAATGTCAAATGTTTGTGTTTCTCTTTTTCAGATGCTGGCACAAATGATTTCCGTGCATAGTGAAATAAAATGCTATTTTAAAGTATCTTACCGAGGAGGTGGTAAAGGAACCTGAAAAAGAAAAGAGAAACCTGAATTAAGTTTATTGTTCTGTGAGCAGGGCCAATGGTTAACAGTTTTTTGATTTACAAATAGAAATTACAAATTTTGACCAGACTTATAGGACATATTTTTCAAGAGATATCTGAACTTTTGCATTGTCTATATCGCTAGGCTTCTAAAGTAAATAATGAATAACAAATGCATTTTCATGATTTCTCCTACCTTGTTCTTTCTTATGGATGTGTCTTCTAAAACATAAGAAGAAATACCAGTGAATTTATGGAAAATGTCATCAAGCATTGATTTTATACACACTTACATGAAAATCATTTTGATTTGTAATAATATTGGTGATAATGTCAGTTAATATTTGTTGAGATCACATGAGATACCCAGAATAATGCTAAACACTTTAGTTATGTGGTCTTATTATATCCTCACCCTTGTTCTGTTAATGAAGAAACTGACACACAGGGAAGTTAAATATCTCACCTGCACTCACCCAGCAAGTAAATCGTAGAATGAAGATTTCATTGCACGTTGTGTGACTCTTATGGTCCCCTTGAAACCACTGATTCCTGTTTAAACTTAATGTGTGTGTGTGTGTACATACACAATTCCATTTCCTGCCTACCACCTTCGTGGGGTATTTCCAAGGAGAGGAAAATAGCATCACAGATTTTTCAAAATTGAATAATTTCTGAAGACCCCCAGAATCCAACTTCTTTATGTTATGGATGAAAAAAACTAAGGACAAACTACGTGGGATAATTTCTCAAGGCCAATTAACCCTAGAAAAAGTCCAAGTGGAGCCTGGAGCAGATTTGTCTGAACTTTAGGTTGTTTTATTTCCATAATTTGACTCAATGTAATTATTGAGCTTCTACTCTGAGCTAAACACAGTACCAGGCACTGCGATAAAAAGACAAATACAATTCGATCCTTCCTGTCAAGGTGCTCCTAGCTGGGGTGTTCACAGGCCAAGCTTCTGGCTCTGGTGATGTGACCGTGAAGATGGCTGGCACTGACCCTGTTGCCATAGGGTTTATACCTTAGTGGGTAGACCTGCACTGAAGGCATCATGAACAATCTGATAAGGATTTCAAGTAGAGAAGGACAAAGTATTAAATGAATATGTGGGAGACTTAAGTTAGTCTGGGTTGTCAGAAGAAGGCTCCTTGGAAAAGCAATGTTTGATTATCTCTAAAAATGGGCATGGTGTAATAAATGCTATTTTATATGGCTGTTGGGGAATCAGTGAGAAAATGTCTATCTCTTGTTACAGGAGACTTAAACCTCCACTGAATACTGGCTGGGTGGCTTCGCACTGAGCCTCCTTTGCTTTCCTCATCTGTGAGACAAGGAGGTTGGGCTAAATCAGTGATTTTTAAAAAACCATGTGCTGAAGAACCCCCTGCGCTCTCCCCTGGAAGTCCCTTGGTGCCTGGACGCAGGGGGACTGGTTACTGGTTGGCCACCCCATGTCATTAAGGGCTTAACTTCGGCCCACTTTCCACTGCACCTCCTCTTTAGATTCCTCTTGGTGAAAAGTCCAACTGGCACAACACAACACAACATAACACAACACAACACAACACAACACAATGCAACACAGCACAAACTGGTCTGTATGATTTTAATGGCTCTTCCATATCTAAAATAATTACTTCAAAGAATAAGAATAAAATTACCATTCTTCCTTTCTGTTTTCATTTTTGAAAAACACTTTTGAAATAGGTAGGATTCACTTCTTTATATGAATTCCATACGCTGATTGCACACAGAAATAATTGATGTCCTTGGCATTGTAAAAACCCAAAATATGACCCAGGATGTCCTTCAACAACAGCAGCAATCTAGTTAACATTAGATCTTTGACTATTTCAAGGAAATCACAAAAAAGCTTAGGCCACATGATGCTTGCTTAAGGCACAAAATTAGAAAACATAAAATTAATTTCCTTTCATGTTATTGTTTATTGGCTTCACCTCCAGAGCTCCCTGGTGGACCATCTTGTTGCCTGGGTTGATGACTTTTCCTGCAAAACTAGATGCTGGCTTTCCAAGAGGTCTTTTTTCACTATATCTATTGGGGATCAATTCAATTCGCTGGAAAAAGAATTCAATAAAGAGACTCAGTTCCTGTAATTTAATAGGAAAATTCCATTTATGGTTTTCAAGATAACTATCCAGTTTGCTTCAGGGGTTGTGAGTGTAGAATAGGACATCTGTCTTCTTTCATTTCATTGATTTATTATTGAGCACGTAGTATGTGTCAGGCATGGACTCATTTTTAATATATGTATTGATGTAGGTATTGGGAGTATAATACCAACAAATAAAGTTGCTATTCCCATGAAACTTACATTCCAGTGGCAGGAGCTAGGAAATACATAAACAAAAGTATAAATAAACCTTCACAGGTGATGACAAATGCTATGCAGAAAATAAAGCAGATTGGAGGACAGCAGGGCACGGAGAGTAGGAGCCGGGGCTACTGTGTTTTAGGCTGGTCTGAGGAGGCATCTGTGGTTAGGGGATGAAATCAGAGGCCTAAGGACAGCCAGGGAGCATGTCATGTGGATGTCTTGGGAAAGGGATTCCTGACAGAGGAAAATAGCAAGGGCAAAGGTCCTCAGGTGGTGTCAGTTCGTTTTCTGTTGCTTAACACAGAATACTTGAAATTAAGTAAGCCCAAGAACAAAGCGGTGCATGTAATGAGAGCCTTCTTGCTGGTGGGGACTCTGAGGATTGCTAAGATGGTGCGGGACACTAAGTGGCAAGGGGGCTGACTGTGCTAATGTGCTAGCTCAGGTCCCTCTTCCTGTTCTCATAAAGATGTTGTAACATAAAGATTCTGTGAATTCTTTCCTCCCTTTTAAGATTTCTTTGTAGGATAATATCGGCAATAGTTACACAAATCCACAGGGCTTTCAAGCCGCATCAGATATGCCGACTGGCAAGTGCTCATACCATGAGCTTCACTTAATCATTGCTTAGCTAACCACAATCCTTCAAAGTAAGAGGTCAAGGTGAACTTAAAGAACTTTGCAAGTGAAAGAAACTGGATTGAACAAGCAAAGTAACTTGTTTACCATTTTACGGCTTTGATGGTAATTCAGATAATTCCAGCAAGTTTCTTAAAATCTGGGGGCCTTATTTAATAAAGCAATAATAACTCAAGTATTTGTGATATTTAAAGGAGGGTGACATTTGGAGCTGAAATTTGTTAAGATTGAATCTTGATTCTGTTCATATTATGGGCAGGATCATAGCAAGTGCTTAATAAATGTTTAGAAATAAACAAATGGATTGAGGAGTGAATGAATTTCCCCATCTGGAGAAGTAAGAAGTGCTTATTTATACTTCATGAAAATTCATGTGTGGAATAAATGAATTGATGAACTTCAAGGCATGGTTCTTAATGCACAGCTGCAGTTACTACTATTATTATAGTATGAAAAATTAGAGGGAAAATGGGAATTTACCCTCCTAATGAAGTACACAAATATTCTAAAATGCTAGGGAAAGTTCTCTATCTGTCACACAAGAGAACCCAAACAGTTGTTTGAAGTCTTCCCCATCTCCAGTTTACTCTTGGAGAAGCCCGGCATGCTCGCCACCTGGTGGTCATAAGGTGCAATCAGCACCATTTGCCCAGAGACTCATTTGCTTTGCAGTCTCAGGACAGATCTCACAAAGTAACTACTTTTGGGGAGGCAATGTACTGAGGTGGGCATAGCATGGTTGCAGAATCCGATGGACCTTAGTTTAACTGTTCCCACCACAACTTATTATGGTGGAGCCATGAAGACATTGTCAATATCACCGTGTTCTGGGAGGGTTAAAGTAAGGCCTCTTGGAGAAGGAAAAAGAGTTAAGAGATCGTTCTTTGGAGTGGCTGGTGCCAGCTTGCAATGGATGGCTGTTAAGCTTTCAGGAATTCTGTGAACTGGCTTTAGATACAACCATTATTAAAAATACATGACATAGGCCCGGTGCAGTGGTTCACGGGGTCAGGAGATCGAAACCATCCTGGCTAATATGGTGAAACCCCGTCTCTAATAAAAAATACAAAAAAATTAGCCAGGTGTGGTGGCGGGCGCCTGTAGTCCCAGCTACTCGGGAGGCTGAGGCAGGAGAATGGCGTGAACCCGGGAGGCGGAGCTTGCAGTGAGCTAAGATCCGGCCACTGCACTCCAGCCTGGGCGACAGAGCGAAAACTCCCTCTAAAAAAACAAACAAAAAACCAAACAAACAAAAAGTTACATAAACGTACACTTAAGTTACAGTAGCCCCCCGCTTATCCTAAGTCAAAATGTTCCAAGACTCAAGATGGATGTCTGAAACTGAGGATAGTAATAAACCCTATATATCCTATGCTTTTCCTAAATATACAGACCTATGATAAAGGTGATATGTGACAGCAAAACAAGCACACTTTTTTTTTTCCTTCTTCCCAATTTCACGGATAGAAGATTCATTTTTATTTTAGATCCCAGTAACCTCAGCATACAATATTTTTTCTTTCCTTTTCAAGTTGGGAACTTCCACCTTTTCACTTAAAGGAATCGCTTTACATCTTCTCTTTGGCAAATCAGAACTGTCAGCATCAGTTCTGATGCACTTTGGAACCATTATTAGGTAGAGCAAGGGTGACTTGAACCCAAGCACTGCGATTCGGCGGATCTGATGGGCGGGACGGCTGCTGAGCAACTCACAGGTGGATAATGGACACAGCGCAACGGAAACACTGGACAAAGAAATGATTCCAGTGGGACCGCTCAGGATTTCGTCGTGCCGCTCAGAAACAGCGTGCAAATTAACATTTATGAATTATGTATTTCTGGAATTTTCCACTTGATATTTTCAGACCTCAGTTGACCATGGGTAACTGAAACTGTGGAAAGTGAAACTGAGGATAAGGAGGACTTCTGTATTTGTTTTTCACTTAGCTACTCTTCAATTTGTGGTAAATATATGCAATACCCCCGCCCTTTTTTTGAGACCAAGTCTGGCTCCCTTGCCCACGCTAGAGTGCAGTGGTGTGGTCTTAGGTCACAGCAACCTCTGCTTTCTTGATTCCTGCCTCAGTCTCCCAAGTAGCTGGGATTACAGGTGTGCACCACCATGCCCGGCTAAGTTTTTTTTTTTTTTTTTCCAGTAGAGATGGGGTTTTACCATGTTGCCCAGGCTCCTGAGTTGTCTCAAACTCCTGGGCTCAAATGATCCACTGGCCTCAGCCTCCA